AATTGAAATGAAGCTATATGATTAGGAATTCTATGGGACAGGATGTCTATACTACAGTAGGACACGTCTTACACGTATGTCCTTCCAAATTGCAAGTGCTACACCGTGGTTTACGACGTGTCTGCTGGCTAGAGCCTGCTTCAGCTTGGCCTTGTTCTTCCGATAACAACGTGTTTACAGCCTTTGCAATAAGAAGAGCCTCGAATCCTTCTTTGTCAACACTTCCTTGAACCTTATAACGCGTTCTTGGACGTTGTTTACGCGCGCTCAGCGTCTGTACAGTCTGGCGGAGGTCGGACACTTCAGCTTGCAGAAGGGCCAGCTGAGCAGCTGCTTTATGATAGCCCTTAGCATTCTGTCGCAAAGCAGCAACTATTTCTGACGGTGAAGTGCTTGAACGCTGCAGCTTGTTCTCAATATATGCTGTCTGAGAATCAACCTCTCGAGGGTTTGACGGCGTAACTGTAGTCCATTGTACTAGTGTTTGTAATGGAGGTGTTACTGTTCTTAATGTCAGCTTCTCTAGTACTGCTTCAGGATTGAATGGCACAAGGCCAGCACCGCGGAAGCCAGCTTGTATATTTGAAGCTGTAAATGCAGCAGCTATCGCGTGTGGGATCTCGGCAAGGAAGTCGTCCTTTGTTATGATATAATAAGACGCTCGGAAGAGCCGTTCAAGCCTTGCTGTATATGCTGTCTTCAAAGGACCGAAACAGCTAACATCGAGAGGCTGTAGACGATGCGAAGAATGAGGTGGTAAGCAGAGAGTGACAATGTTATGATCTTTGCAGTATTGATCGAATTCAGGCGTTAAATGGCTACCATGTCCATCAAGGACAAGAAGCCTTTTAACACCCTTTGTCGCTTGCTGCGTATGTCCATGGAAGTGCTCTATCCAACGCAGACCAAGAGCATTGCTTGTCCAGCCATTCTCGCTGCAGGCTAGAGTCCAGCGTGGTGGTAGTCCTTCAAAATAAGTCTTATTTAGCGTTACGCCTTTGAAGATCACGAATGGAGGGACCTGCCAGCCTCGAGCGTTGACGCAGGCAATAATGGTTACCCATTCAGAAGAATCCGATCCAATCAATGTTGGTCTTCCTTTCCGATCAGCTGTAGTTACAACATGGTGGTTGCCAGCTTGCCCAAGGCGGAATCCAGTCTCATCAAAGTTGTAGATATCGTCTTCAAGGATACCATGGAAATTGATCATGTTCTTCACCAATTCAAACCATTGAATATACGCGTCTTTCTGCTCGTTACGTGCACGCTGCCAATCCAGCCTTCGCGACAACTTTGTCTTAAGCCGTGGTGTCCTTTTAATAAAGTTATGTCGCCATAATTTACCAACAGGTTCAAGGCCCTTCTGCGTTGCAAGGATGTTCGCAATTTCCTCAACATGAGCAAGCGTTGGTGGCCATCCACACGAGTCCATATCCAATATCCTTTCAATTATAACCTCCTCTTCAGCGACAGTGAATTTCCTTGAATTGACACCTTGCTGTTGTCTGGAAGGTCTGCTGTCAAGGCGGCGTTGGAGGGTGGTCCTTGAGACGTTATACGCGCGCGCAGTTGCTCGGATCGACTTGAATTGACCGGATCTGAATGCAGCGATAGCAGGAGCGTAGGAATCACGCGTCAATCGCGTATCCATTGTATGACGTGGATAATTATCGCGTGTTGAAGGAAAGAATACGTAGTGAGAATAGGAAGTGGCCCACAAGCCTATAGTGGCCCACAAGCCTATAGGGTACGTTAGTCCGTGGAAGGCTTACGTAACGCTGCTGGCGGCAACGAGCGACTCCTCCGACGCTAGCGAACATGAAGAAGTACTGAATCATGAACATTTGTTGCGCGACCTCATCTTCGACAATCCCTAACCCAGCGGCCTATACGACGTATGCGCAGACACAGTTCTTTGCGGTCAAGGTATTCCTAGCTCGCATTTTTCACCGCTCCGACTTGAGGCCGCCAATCCTGCCAGATAAGACGTCCGGCTGCTTGCGACAAAAAAACACTTGAGCAAAGCACGCGACCAGGAAACTCACGAGAAGCTCACGAAAACCGGCGGAACCACCACACAGTCACAATGCTATACGACGATCTACGAGGCATCCATGAAGATCTGGAGCGATTGGAAGCGGGCATAGCGGACAGAGTATTAGAAGACCCCAAACTCAAGGTAGGCTATACATCCATCATGCGCAGTACGCGACAGGGCTTACAACTCACAGAGGCGTGCCAGATTACAACGAGAACATGAGATTGCCAATCTAGTATCACGGTTTAAAACTCAATCCGAGCGAGCTCGCCAAATTTACCTGGACCAAAAAGTAGAAAGGACGCAAGAGTTGCAGAGCATTTCCACCGGTGACACCTTTGAATCCTTCTTCAACGCCTACCAGGAAACCAAGCAGTTCCACAAACGCTATCCGAATCAGCAAGTTGACAATCTCGAGCGCGCATACAAACGACCCGAAGATGGCGGGCCTCACAATGGTGACATGGACGTTGGCAAGCTGTTCCGAGGGGAGGAAAAATTTGGAGAGTTCTTCGACTTGACATTACTGCACGAGGAGTATCTGAATTTGCCCGGAATCCGCGGTGTGAAGAAACAAAATTATCTCGCCTACTTGAGCTTGTTCGATGTCTTCACACCGCCGAAATGTCCAATCACTCGTAAAGACAAGATGACCGACGAATACTTCTCATACGTTCGATCGCTCGCGGAATACCTAGAATCGTTCTATCAGAAGACGAAGCCTCTTAACGACTCGCGCAAGCTGTTTCAAGAGTTCGACGATGAGTTCGATCAGTTATGGGAAAAGAACGAGGTTCCGGGATGGGAGAAAGTGGCCGCGCAAGCAAATGGCACCGCCTCAAATAAGCCCGCAACTGAGGGCACTGGGGTGGGGATCTGGTGTGCAGACTGCCTGAAGGAATTTTCAAACGACAGCACGTACAAAGCGCATTTGACCGGCAAAAAGCACATCAAAAATGCCGAGGCCAGGCAAACGGCTGGTGATTCAGACGACAACGGGAAATCAGTATCAAAATCAGACCATGTCACTCGCTTAAAGGAGCGCGCGGTAGCTTCTCGAGAGCACCGCATCCGCAAACTTGCCAGTACAATGCAGACCGAGCGTGAAGGCACTCTCATGAATGTGGAGCGCCGCGAAGGCATGACGGACAAGGAACGACAGCAGGAGATTGAAGCTCTCTATGCCGAAGAGACGGATGAAGCTACTACCCAGATCGAAGAAGACGAAGAGCAAGATGGCGACGAGAAGGTCTACAATCCGCTCAAGTTGCCTCTCGCCTGGGACGGCAAGCCAATCCCATTCTGGCTCTACAAATTGCACGGCCTCGGGGTTGAATTCCCCTGCGAGATTTGTGGCAACTACGTTTACATGGGTCGGCGGGCCTTTGATAAGCACTTTTCAGAACAACGTCACATCTACGGCCTGAATTGTTTGGGCGTCAACAAGAACACTTCGCTTTTCCGCGAGATCACTAAGATCGACGAGGCCCTCAAACTTTGGAACAAGATGCAGCGTGATCTGGCGGACGAGCTGGAGCGCAAGGGCGGCGAGAACGGTGATGGAGTTATCGAGATGGAGGACTCGCTGGGTAACGTCATGCCCAAGGCCGTGTACGAAGACTTGGCTACGGCCGGATTGCTGTAGAAACGAACAGGTATCTGATATAGCTTGATCTATGTCAACACATGGACGAACCTTCATCTCCGCGCCACGGGAAATCATATATGCCGGAACATCAACAAACTCAATACTCTTATCACGACTAGGAAGGTGGGCTATCTGAGCGTGAAGAATGAAACTGCGCCGGACTGTTGTCCAATAACAAGGGTTTTATCGGGGGCGACTGAAGTGACTCCTCGGTATCCATGCGGCAGCCAGACGAGGTTTTTTAGTGCAGGGCTATGGATATTCCATTCGCGCTGCCTTGTGAGATCTCGAAGCATCATCCATTGACCGGACTGCTCTAAATATTCTTCCATTCTGGGCGCCTCATATGCTCTAGGTAAGGGATTTCTCGCGATATTATAGAATGACCTCGCGGTTCTCAGCGACGACCCGTCTGCGTCAAAAGTGATACGATCCGAAGGTTCTGAAAGGGTGAAAAGCTGTATCACCTCGCCCGTCAACGCGTCCCACAGCCGCACCGTCCTATCGTCGGACGCCGATGGAAAAATTTACCCATCCGGCGAGAAAGCTATTGTGTTAGAACCAATTCTCGTGCTCGAGCCGCTGTATTACATCACCCGTTTCCGCATTCCACAGCCACACCGTCTTATAGTCGGCCGATGCGACGAACTGCCCGTCCGGCGAGAAGGTTACCGCCCGGACCCGATCATTGTGCTCGAGCTGCTGCGTTACCTCACCCGTTCTCGTGTTGTGCAAACGCACCGTCTTATCGGACGTCAACGCGATGGCCTGCCCGGCCTGCGAGACGGCTACGGCGGAGCGGTACCCTTCGAGCCCCCATGGCCGTCTAGTCCTGTCATAGGACGTCAATGCGACGACCTCCTCATAGAAGGCTCCTGCGTTCAAAGAACCATCGTGTCCCTTGAGCCGTTGTATCTCCTCGCCTGTTACCGCGTTCCACAGCCGTATTGTCTTATCATTAGACGCCGATGCAATAATCTGCCCGTCCGGCGAGAAGGCCACAGTGTCAACTTCAACATCGTGCCCTCTGATTTTGAGGATTTCTGCGCTCCAATCCGAAGTCGTATACGAAGGGAATAGACTGGTCAGTTGGTGAAGAAAAGTGTTGCGAACAATACTATTCTTTGGCGCAAAATAAAGTACAGTGGTATAAAGCTGGAGTGGTGTTAGATCTATTACAAACCGGTTTTGGCGGACGAAGCGGAGCGCGTCGTCGAGAAAGGCAGAAAGTGGAGCATGCTTGCTGCGCTGGACAAGGTCGTCAGCGATATGTACAATTCGTCGTGCAGTATTGACCTACCTCGATGTGGGACTTCAGCTTTGTGAGCTGTGCGATAGCGCTCGAAATACAGTTCAGCCAGCTGAGCGCTTCTAACCAGTGGAGAAGCTTGTGTTGTAGGAAACTGTAGACGTGATCTGTATGTGCGTCCGATAGCTCTGAGATTCCCTCGAAGTGCGAAGTCCAATATTGACAGGCGTACGCAAGCTCCGGCGCAATGTGAGCGCCTACGTTCTGGCAATCATCTCGGTTCGACCTAGGTTCCTTGGTCCCGCAAATGTCTTGACGAAGCCGATCGTTCATGATCCGGAGACAATGCTCTAGGAGAGCTCCGTTAGTCAGTCGGTTATCAATGCGGAATTCGTGCTCTTGATCCAGAAGAAAGTCTTTAAATGATTCATGTAAAATGCTGACAGGCGATCCAGAATCGTCAGGTATTCTGAGGACGGAGCGTAACGGTTTGAGGAACTTATGGATTACTCCCGGCTCGATATTCAGCAACCACCCTAGACTCGGAATAGACAAAGGATTCTGAACGAGGACGATAGCGCCCACAATAGTCTTGAACATTGTGATGACCTTCGCTCTCGCTTCAACGTCGCGGTACACTTTTCTTAGGATCGGCAGATACACTTGTTGCATGCCTTGTAAGGAAGTGCTTCGATTCTCTTTGAGCAGATCTGTCAGGCATTTTACCGGATCATGATATCCTCTGACGTAACGAATGACGGTTTCTGCAAAGATAAACAGCGGCTTCGTCAGCTGTACAAGCTCGTCCATCGTAGTGGAAGTCGGCCATCCGGCCTTTAGCTGAGGCCAGGGCTGCTGCGCATCGTTTTTGACAATAGAGTCAAAGCACTCCTTCAAGAATAGTCTTATGTCAGCTTCGGTTTCTTCCTCGCAGATTGTCTCGAGTCTTCGCATATCCGCGGGGAAAACGGCGAAGTGGTCTTCGATGTGTTTCTCTGGCCGACTAGTAACAACAATGCGAAGGCCAATTTCCTGAGCCAGCATGGCAAGTTCGCGGAGGATCATCTTCGCATCCTCTACCGTACACTCGTCCAGCGCGTCGATGACAAGAACGAGCTTAAGTAGTCCAGCCTTTACGAGTGGTTCTTTGAGCAGCTTCGTGAATTGAATGCGGAATGGCCCGCCGGGTAGGTCGCGGTCGGCGTCAAGTGCAGCTGCCACAAACGGTCGTAGTGTCCGATGGCGCGTAAGTAGCTGATTGACAATACTCGACACAAAGCGCGACCCGTCCCTGTGAAAATCTAGATTCTGTCGGAAAAAGAAGCTTGCCGCGAGCAGTCCTTCATCGTTAATCTGTCGTGCGATGGTCCTGATCAGAGTCGACTTGCCGGTTCCTGCCATGCCGCTGATCAAGAATAACCTCTGGTGGGATTCACGGCACCATCGCGTAACGTCTTCGATGAGTTTCTTTCGCGTCTCAGGTAAACAATACTCATATAACGTGCCGTCTTTCCCGCTGCAATCATATGCAGCGCTACTTGCAGACTGAAGGCGCAAAAGATGAGATTGTTGGCCGATGTCAGAGGTAGTAGCTTTCACTGTGGAAAGATCCTGGTCTATCGTGCGCACTTGGAAGCGTCAACTACCAGACTCACCTTGACCATATGACGATGAGCTACTTACGGGTATCGTACACGAGACGCAATTTCTGCGTTTGGGTCAGCGCCAATTCATCCACGCACCCCAAAAATTCCTTTGCGAACCCTGCTGCAGCCATAGCAGCGTATCGCTGCCAAGCGTCATTCTTGTGCATGTCTGCATAGTCGCAAATGCCTCGGATTACCAGACACGGGAAGCTATTCATAAGACCAGCTGCTTCCATTTCTATACAGAGAGGGTTGATTCTCTCCGCTTTCAACCAAGATACTACTTGATCCCGGTGCGCAGCAGATTTTTCTAAAGTATTCCCTGATGCGATCGTACCGAAGTGCACTTCTGGAGTTTTCCGTGCGTCACGCTCAATCGGCCGTCCGTCCTGAAGGTGATAAACATCTGTGACTCGCTCCTCGCCTGCTGTTCTGTACCACGGATGTGTGTAGGCTTGTGACATTTTCGGATACCGTGAGAAAGCATCTTCCATCAAGGCTGGAATGATCGAATCTTCCATCTCATACTTCGTCCGAAGCTTGCTGAGCGCACTGAGTAATGCTCCCGGGGGGCTGTTCAAATTGCCTTGTCGCTCGAGCACATGCCTCCCACCGCGCTCCTGGCTCTTCACGAAATCGAATTGCACAACGCCGCCTGTGGTCCCAACGGGGTTGCTTACCACCACGTCTCCCAAGCGAATGTCTGGCTCGAACGTAATTGATCCATTTCCATCCGTCTGCGGTTCTGGTACACCTGCTCCGATTCCTACAAGAAGTCCTACGCGAATATGCGGCAGTGATGAACGGAGTCCTTGAGCCACCGTCGCGGCCGAGGTGAGGCCGTATCGTCCGGATGGCAGAGACGCAAGCACGACATTGTGTTGTCCGACGGTCCCCCAAGAATATACATTATCGTCGCCGTCTTTGTTGCGGAAGCCCTCTGGTGGATTATCGCGCTTGGTGTCGAACATCGCCTGTGCAGCTGCACGCTCAAGCGGTAAAGCTGCTATCCATGCCACGGTATAAGATTGGAGAGAGTCGGCCATCGCGCTAGCATTCAGCGCGTACTGCGCGCATAAACTGCTACCGTAAGGCCCACAGTTCGATCTCAATTTGTGGAAGTCTGGAAAGCATTTAACGTGCCGATACAATACTTCCATATCCGGGCAAATGATCGTCACCGGCTATCGACGACAATCGGCTGTACACAATCGGTTCGCAGCTGGTGCTGACTTAATCAAGCGGGGAGGACGACAGCCCGCGTCCGTTCTTGGTCGCATGCATCCTTCAGTTGCTGAGCTCACCAGCCAGCTACTGCGGATTGTATCAGGTTGACATTTTCCGGGCGAAAGTCTTAGCGTTGGGATGCGCTTCCTTTACGCCCTTGCGAACTCACTACCACTTTTGCATTGCACAGCGACAAGACTTGTAACAAGAGTTGTTGATAGCCTTTCAACGGTCGCTTCTCCCGGCCATCGACCACGATGTCCGAGAGGATGTGCACGCGCGAGGCTGTTAATGGTCTTGAAGTATTCGCTTAGACGGTGAAATCCCGCATGTTCCGACTTTATTGCAATGAGGTGAGGACGACGCGATATTGAATAAACGATGACAGGGAAGGGAATTGACACGTCCCGGACCGGTGTTTGATATCTCCCAGAGCTTTTTTCTCGGGGTGTAAGAGCCGAAGGCGAACCGCGAAGGGCAGTCCCGCCGACACGTGGAAGCCACGAGTCACAACGTGCGATTTCCGATCCTGTCGGACGCGCTTTTCAAATGGAGCAATCTAACGATGAGGCTTCCTGCATGCATCGAATTGAGAGATTTGTGTCCCAGGTTTGCGCAGGTCACACGAGATGTCGAGATGACGAACGAAATATCAGTGATGAGGCAGAGGCACGAAGACAACACAAAGGTTGCTCATAATTACATCCATGTGTCAGATCTGTTTCAACGATGGCGCGCCATCACAACTTCTCGAGCCTCGAATGAGCCCATCGAGATTAACACCTTTTTATAGCAGTCTCGGACTTTCTCTTACCCATTTGAAGATCCGCAGGTCTTTCAGGCTTTTAACAAGGATTGCAAGTCGGCATCATTCACCGCCTTCAAGAAAGCCAAGCTGCATTGGTATTAAGACCCCCACGGTGGGCTTCGGCACACAGTCAGAAGCAAAGACTTTCGGCACTCGCGATATGTGAAAGGTTACCTTCCACTACGGCAGATATTGCGCCCATGCGCAATGTATGCCATTCCTCGGCGATTGCGTTGTTGACTTTTGAGAATGCAAGTGATGGGTTACCTCTATTTCGCTCACATTCTCGACAACAGATCTCTGCCGTGATAGCGTGGTGATTGGTGCTACGTCTCCTCCCTGCTGTTGTGCGCACGAGAAATCGATGAGCACCCGGATAAGTGTGAGAAGAGCTGCTCAGAAGTGTCGAGGGCGGCCATGCATCATGGGTAGGTAGGCTAGTAGTTGCGCCCACGGGGTACGTGGCATGTGCTGAATGGGGTCATTGCAGGAGCAAACAATTTTGTGGAAGTGCTGATTGGATCGAAGCTGAGGACTGTGAAAGGGTTCCCAACAAAGGACTTGTATTTGGACAAACAACTCGTGCTTTTTGATTATAACCCCTCTGCTTGTTTCTTGTTCTCTGTTATTTGTCTGGGTCACTAACATTATCGTTCCAGACTTCTAGTCGCTTGTACTTCGTGACTCACAGCTATGGTTCTTTTTGACGTGTGAGAAAGTCACACCCATTCATTCCGACTTCGTAGGGATATATACTACAAAGTCTTCAGCCTCGACAGAAAAGAATGCTCATCCACTTCCCCGTAGCTTTTCTACAGCTCTTCATCCAACAATCTCCTCGTCCTTCTCCTTCTTCGGCCCTTTTCATCTTTCTTCTTTCCTTGTTATCCTTCGTCTCTCCGGTTTCGCTTTCCTCTTCCTTCGTTACCTTCCTCTTCTTTCCCTCATGCAGGTACATAAATAAGTGGATATTTTAAGATGTTCCGAAACCACGAAGTGCCAGGTAAAGGCATCGGCGTCTTCGCTACGCAGCCGATCGCCGCGGGCGTAATGATCCTCTCAGAGAAGCCGATCGTGAAAGTCCCACCATTCTCGCTCGACCCAAACGCCAAAATCTTGCAACAACTTCAAGCCCGCAGCAAAGACGAGAGAAACGCCTTCTTCGCCCTCGCAAACAACTACCCCGACACGACACCTGTCATGGGTATAGTGAAGACAAATGCCATGCCGCTCGGCAGTGGAGCCCAGACTGGCGGACTATTCCTGCAATGCTCGCGCTTCAACCATAGTTGCACGTCGAACGCCGCTTATTCCTGGAACGATGATATCAAGGAAGAGCGGATCTTCTCCCTCTTCGACATCGCCGATGGAGAAGAGATCACCGTCACCTACCTTACGGATAAGATGTGGTCTCTGCCCCGTGATCAGAGACGAGAAGCCATCTGGGAGGAATATCGCTTCCGATGTGAATGTGTTCGCTGCACCGGTGCTTTGGATTCGGGTCGAAAGGCTAGCGATGAACGTCGCGTCCGCCTAGGTCAGATCCATGAGCAGGTCGGCAACGGCATGCTCATGGTCACCAAGCCCAGCACTGCACTCGGTCTGTGTCGCGAAGCCATCGAGCTGATCCGCGCAGAGGGAGAAGGTGCCTGTCGTCTCGAAGGTATCTACTACGACGCTTTCCAAATCTGCATCTGCCACGGGGACGTGGCGCTCGCCAAGGCTTTCATACGTCTGTTTATTCAAACGGCAAAGGCTTGGAAAGGTGATGATGCGTTGGGTTTTGTGGAGCTGGCCCGTCTCGAACATGATCCGAAATTACACGCAAATGCCTTCACTACGAAGCGTTGGGCTACTGCCATCACCTCGCCACCGGGATCGCTTGCCGGTGAAGAGGAGTGGCTCTGGCGTCGAGCTGCTCGATCTTGAAGCTCTGGAGGCAGTGGCGGGCCTGGGGATGTTCATTTCGAGGGCGTGTGCCAGAAAGCGAATGCGGAAATGCATGGGGGCGAGAGCAAACCCGTATATCCTTCAGTTGTCGATTGAGATGGCGCTTCTTTGAGCGGTTATCATTTCTTTGGTAGAGAGGCTGATGGTACTTTCTACATGTAGGGTATATGAGATTTTGGTTCGAATTCGACGACCGAATTTATCATTGTTATAATTTATTATCATTATCATTATACGCTTTTTTGTCCAATTTCTCCGGACGTAACATCATAACACAGGCATGAAACAATCTTCCTGCGATCATGCTCATGATTCGACTATAGTGGTCGTTGCTGCGGACCTGCCCGAGCGGGTTACTCAAACGCGGGAAATGCAACAGCGCATTACATTCGCCTGCTTCGTGTTGCACACGTGTAGACCTGGACTCGCGACTTCCGTCAAGGACGCATCGGTCGTGTCGCGGCCTTCTGCCGCGCTTCGATCCAACCCGAATCGATCGACTTATCATCGCTTGCGATGTCAGATATGCACTGCATAGACGTCCAGAATCATAAGAGTTCGTCGAGGCTTGCGTGTTGCGATACGCTGTGGCGAAACGCAGCATGGTGGATCTATGCTGGGATCTCTGAAGAGGGGCGCCAATGTGCTGGGTTTCGACAGTGTTTGAGCGAAATTACTTCAACGTGCGGGCGCTCGCGTAGCCGGGGAAGGCTGTAGACTTCAGGGCCGAGACTAGCACACAGCGTGGCAGCCGAGCTTACATGCTGTCTGATTTCCTCTCGCAGGTATCCCAGATGTGCCAAGGCTCAATGATTCAGTATCTGTTTCGGCGTTTCGATAAATTGAAAGCTCACTGATGTGGCTTTCGTTCAATGGTGCTTTCTTCAGATATGTTTAGGAGAATTGCAAAAGGAATCCACAGAGGCACGACTGCTCGTAGGCGTATGATCATATGAAGCCTTCCTGATCGGATATGACATGGGCGTGCTGATGAGCCTTTGGGACATGATCTGCAGAAGATGCTGTTGCTGCACCAACTGTTCGCTCTGAAGCCGGATAAGCTCATTCATTGTCTTCAAGACATCTTCTTGATTTTCATGCTCGCTGTACGGACGACCAGCACCAGGCAGATTGTCGGGTTGGCCTTTGTTGGCTTCAGGGTCGGTCCGGTGGAGCACGGTTTGGATCTCTTGCAGCATGGGCCGCATACGCTGGACCTTTTGGCTTTCGAAGAGCGCGAAGACTTTCCTGAGGAATGGGAAGTAACCTGGGACGGTTCCGAAACTGATGCCGATCATATATAGGATAAATATGGCGCCCGAACGATCGCCATTCGGCAGCTTTAATGGGATAGAGACGAAATAAACACTGTATCCCATAAGCAACATAGCGACTGAAAGTTCGAGGAGTTGCATGGGAGCGGTTAGCGTGAAGACCGCGATGAGAGAGGGACGTGGCCTTCGGAGTTTGAGCGCTCTCTTTAAAGTTGAGATGGACTTTTTCCCAAAATGGCTGGTCAAGTCGGAGCGAGGGTCCTGCTCGAGCTGCTCAAACAGGTCAAGGGTCTCGACTGTCTCAGAGGACAACCCATGAGTTATCCATGCCTGAAACTCAGCGGGAGTGTGCAAGTTGCCCAGGGTGCTCTGAAGCACACAGGAGAAGATGACCGCGAAGGAACCTGAGACTAAGCATAGCACGAAAAATGCCTCGGCGAGCCATGTGACTTCCTGTAGCGAAGGCATAGAGAGAGTTTGTACTGCGATCTGGGCAAGCACCGCACCTGCAACACCAATCATGGCGAACGTTGGGGTGAATGATGCCTTCATAGCGCTGGCATCTGCAAGTCCGCCGTCGTCCGATGCGATATGGCGTCGGATCCGGTGGACCGTCTGCGACACATTCGAAGAGAATTGGATCGCGACACCGGCGAAGATGCCAAAGTCCGTAATATCGTCATGCATTCGGGACAATTTCGACGCGAGGGGAGTCAGCCTCGGAAACTTGGTCGCGATCGCCTGGGAGGCTCTCAACAATATGGGAGTGCGTGGCGGCATATTTATGATTCGAACATGAGATTTTTGATGTGACTCCAGGCCTCAATGTAGATCTTGGTCAAGGAAGAAGATATCGCGCTGCGGTGGTGGAAAGGACATTGCATTATGCTGCGGCCGTCCATGCGGTCGGATATTCATGCCGGCAGGGTGATGCTGCAATCGCCAAGTGCGGCGCGGTTCGTTCCCCTCAAGAGCGTCATCTCAACAAAGCTTCAGTCTCCTCGTACGCAGATGGGTAAGCACTAAGCACCAACTCTATTGCTTGCTGGCGATTGTATTCCGCTCCGCCCGGACAATTAGCCGTTTGATTGGCGGCCTCAATTGACGGCCCCGCGCGCTCTCCTCAACCTCGTCGCAGATCATCTAAGCTGTTTGGAGCTTAATTCGATGTCGGTCGGCAAAGGACCCGAAGCTTGAAAGGAGCAAAGATCAGCGGACGACCACGTGACGGCACGCCGCGGCGTGGTCTTTGAGTCTGACGCTCCTGAAGTCGTCGATGGATGTTGCGATCCTTGAAGGACTCACGCATTGCTGGTGGGGCATCTCCGGCTACTTGTTCGGCGGAGCTTGGCAGTCCTATGCACCAGACTACGCGTGCCGCTCCACCGCCGCCAATGGCTTCGGAGCGGGAGAAATTACGCGGGATCAAAGAAGCGGATTGAGGCAAGATTGGCACAACACCTGAAACGGAACAATGCATCACAAAGAAGAAATGTTTACTATCCTTGGTGAATGGTGATTCACGGATTGTGAGACGATACGAAGGCACGGGTATGATTGTAGTCTGCTCGGCGACATGGACCGAACTAAGCCGGTCCCTAGCCGTTCATTCGGGCTGCGCGGCTTTCACATTTGTACTCCATAATCTCTCAAAGTCATTACACAACCCGTGTCAGAATCGGGTCGTCAGGGAGAGGTCTGGTCGGCAGTGATGATGTCGATTAAATCTTATTCCGTGTCCTCACGAATGACGGAACAAGACATATGTAAGGGGGAAGATGCAGGTCCTCAAGGGCTGGAAACAAGAATATCAGCTGCTGAGGACCTGGTTCATGGCTAAGCCAAAAACCATGATGACTAATGTCGCTCGATATGCGATATGCGATATGATTCATGTCTCTTCTGAGGTTCTGATAGGGACAATCTTGCTAGAGAGTAATAATAAATCATGTACTGGATGAGGTATCGTGGAGAGCAGATGGAGGAGACGACAAGGCCCGAACGTCGTAACCCAAACCCTAAGCCACGTGCGGGCCGTTGCTTGTCACTACTGCTGCACCCCTAATTCGGTCTCTCGCCGGTTGATTATTACGTATGAAACGCGGACTTTTAATTCGGCGCGCGCGATGGTAATTAATGGCTGGCTGTCCTTCAGCTGATACTCCATCAGGACAAATCTCAACATCTCAAGGGCAACACTTACTGATCTTTGGACACCGTCTGGATTCTCCGAGATCGCCATATACATCCCGTTGCATCTGGATCCACGCGCGCAGAGATTCAGTCACAAGAGAAGGAGAAAGAGCATGCTGGTTCGGTTACCATGATACCATTCACCTTCCGCCGCGTGCTGAAATACACTTTCGTCGCCCTCAGCATCTTCGCCCTGCTCGGCTCATTACGTTTCGCAAACAACCAAACTCGCTTCCAGGCATTCCTCCAACGGCAATACATCACCTGGAAGGACTTCCCAATCTCATACGCCGATGCGCTCAAAGCCAAAGACTGGGACACGCTCCTCCAAACCTACGACTACAAGAAGAACTTTCCCACCGTCGAGTACAACCACGATGACGCCACCGCAACAAGGAACATCCCACCGATAATCCACTTCATCTGGTTCCGTAACCTCTACGAAACCAAAGCCGAAATCACCTCCATCCCCTCCAAGGGCTCCGAAGCCCCCGAGCACTGCCGGAGATACAACCCGGACTACACCATCAACATCTGGAACGCCAGCGCCGCCCGCGACCTCCTTGAGCAGCACTACGCCTGGTTCCTCCCGACCTACGATGCCTACCGCTACCCGATCCAGCGCGTCGATGCCGTGAAATACTTCCTCCTCTGGCACTACGGCGGCATCTACATGGACATGGACATTGCCTGCCGCCGATCGATGGATCCGCTCTTGCCGTTCCCTGCGTGGTTCCCCGAGGCGTCGCCGCTCGGCGTCAATAATGATCTCATGGCCACCCGCTCCCGTCACCCGGTCATCCGATTGATGTTGGAGAATCTTCACGCGCGCAATCTGAATTTGATTTTCCCGTATTTGACGATTTTCTGGAGTACGGGACCGCAGTTCACTGGCGATCTGCTCAAGAGGTGGTTTCTACAATTCGGTGGGAAGTATGTTCCGGGCGAGAGCAAGGTAGATGCCGGTAAGCAGTTCTTTCCTTCTCTTCTCTTTCCCTTCCCTTGAATCTGTGAATTGAGTTCCCCTTTCCATGCTGACCATTGTCTCACACTCAGATCCATCCGAATGGTTCGTCCTCCCGCAAGAATTCTACTCGGAGGAATTCACCTTCTTCGGCCACAGTCCCGGCGGCACCTGGCACGAAGACGACGTCGCCGTCGTCCTCTGGTTCGTCGCACATCCCGTCGTCTTCTGGTTCCTGGTTTTCACTGTCCTCACCGGTCTGACTATGTTCATCATCCGTCTGAGGAGGAGCAGCAATAACCAGAGGAGCAAGGACACGGGACTTGGGATACGGGGCATATGAAAATGTTTTGGAAAAACATACCGTGTGAATCGCACGTAGTTTGAGGAACCAGGGGATTGTATGGTATAGACAGGATTCATGGCGACGGCGTTATGGGGAGTGATACGGACTGCATCTTGAAAATCCACAAAAATCTAATGAACGGGAAATTCTGGCGACGCAGAAACGCGAGAAGTTCCCACAGCAGAAGTTCTCTCCCATCCCGACTTCCTGCACCGGGTCCGAGTGACAAGCTCTACCGTTCCGGAAAGCAATGAATTCTATGAATGAACTTGATTTCTACATTCCATCAAACGCTGCCGTAACCTCTGCATGGCTACAATGCACAGCCGCAATCATGGCCGTCCTCGCTTCTACTCCTCGTCCTCCTCGTCCTCGTCATCGGTATCCATCTCCATGGTCAACGGCGGCATTTCGAAATCACTCCCGTCCATCTCATCATCATCGTCATCGCCGACGCCGTCATGTGCGGTGTTCACAGTTGACACCGCGGGTAGAAGCGATGACGAGCTTTGTGTCTCTGCCGTAGAGGCGGCAGGGAAGGAGCTCGATTGTGTGATCTCGTCGTCAGCAACATCTCGATTGGAATTGGCAATGTCGTCTTGGAGTTGTGCTTCGAGGTCTTCGAGGAGGGAGCGTGCTTCTTCGTTTGTGTCGGTTTGGAGCTGTGATGTTGTGGGTCTTGCTTTTGTTGAGTGCGTGGTGGGCAGAGTCTGGTCCAGCCGTGTGCGTTTTGCATCTGGTGGGGTTGTGGTTGTTGGTGGTTGGAGAGGTGTGGTTGTAGTTGTGAACTCTGTGGTGGGGGGCTCGAAGGGGCGTTTTTGGGATGTTGACGATGAAGGGGCAAGAGGGCCTTGAAGGTTGGTGTTGGCTTGGAGGATTGAGGCGCTGGATATTTCATGTCTTGGAGCCTCGGGAATTTCGTCTCCGTCGATTTCCGCTTCCTCCGCGTCATCTTCGTCCACCTCATCATCTTCATCGTCTGATTCATCATCCTCGTCTTCTACATCGTCGTCCACCTTTACACCATGAGCGCCAGTTCTCTTCCCACCAATCACCGGCATTCTCGGCTTGATCAAAGCTTCGACTTCACTTTCCTTCGGCGCCAGGCGAGCCAGGATTGGCATCAAGCTGGCTTGTGCGCGGAGTTCATTTTCGCGCTGTGCGGGGTTGAGGACACTTGCGACAAGGAGATCCTTGTCTTTCGTGATCACTGCGACACGATCAATCTGGGCTCGGACCTTGGTTGGGACCGTCGTCGAAGGGAGGTGTTTGAGGGCGGAGAGGAGGAGAGAACGTGAGTGTTCGTGATTTGGATTGCTAGCTTCAAAGTGCTTGGGTAGTGGAGTGGACTTCTTGGGCTGGCTTGTGCCTGAGGTACCATTGCTTTGTGGTCCTTGTCCGTCTGAGGAGGAGTCTGATGGTAGTAGCTGTTGACAGCAGCTTCGAAGAGCAGGTACCAGCAGTGAAGTGTCGGCTCGAGTGAATGTAGCTCCCGAGAATGTGACGATGGATGCTAGGATCTGGGAAATCCCCGCTCGCACGCTCTCATCCCGTTCCGCTTGGAAAAGGCTTGATAACACCTGCGTCAACGTAGGCAAGATCGAGAAAGCCGAAGCCTGAAAACGAGCAAGGAGGTGCGTCAAAACGTCCAGAGCCGCTATGCGAACAGCAGGTAGGACGGCAAGGACAGCTTCGCGCTCTTCTCGAACAATCTGAGGATTGAATTTCATTGAGCCGATTTTCTCTAGATCAGTAGCACCAATGCTGAGAATTCTTGTCATAAGGTCCATGATACTGCCAAACTTGACTGGCACAGCAGCGGGAGTCGGCAATGCCAGAATCGTCGACAGAATAAGCAATGTCTCGATCAAGCGCTCATGTCCGGCATAGATCCCGCTCCAGGCGCTCAAGCCAAGAGCATCCTGCTCGGGAAGCTCTGGCTCTCCATTCAATAATTGATGCCTCGGACGGAATGGCTGAACACCGGCGGTTGATTCCCAATCGTGTTCAATACCTCGGAATAAGTAGTCGCAGGTAGCGTGAGCAGACGCTAGCGCATTCTTGAAGCTCTCGCTCCACTTCTCACTTGAGCCTTGTTTCGGCGTGCAATGATGAAGTAAAACAAGTAGACGCCGGGCTGACTCCCTATGCCTTGAAGTGTAATGAAAATGAACAGCTTCACCCGCAGATGAAGAGCTGAGGATTCTGAGAAGGATGGTCCGGAGTGTGCCCTCATTTGGACGGAAAATTGTCGAATGTCTAACGATCAGCACCGAGAAAGCATCCAGGACAGTTTGCAACTCATCAGGCGAGCATCGCTTTGCTTCGATGTTGCTGATACATGTAGAGACAAAGCCAGGTAGTGCAGGAGTCGTGATCTCGCGGACCAGATTTGCGTGCTCCCAGGTTAGCATGAACAGTCGGGTGAGTGTCAAGACGGCAAGACTGCGCGTGGTTGGAGGATCGGGCCTCTTCAAAATGGTCAGCAGATTGCGCGACCAGACTCCGGATTTGCTGAGAATCTCAAGTCCTCCTGCCTCGATCACAGCTTTGACCAAGACAACACCAGTCCATCGCGCACGAAAATTCCTGTGCTGGAGCAAGGTAGATAGCTGTGTCTTGAACCGGTGGACCACGGCAGTGACATCACCCTGATTTTTGGCGCCCGAGGCTTGCGATAGGACCGCTCGGCATGTCCAGATAGATCCAGCTATTTGAGCAGCAATTTGAGGTAGTTGTTCGTCTGAAGTATTGGCGATCCGGTATGTAATAGCTCGAAGGGTGCCAATGGCAGACTGTACTGATTGAGACATGATCGGCTCGCCTGGAAATTGCCGATATTTCTCCAAAGACAGGCGATCTTACAGTCTAAGTATCGCGAGTCTAAGCAAAGGCTCACTGCTGCATGAACGGACTCTGGTGATTGCAATACGATCAATCGTCCTCGTGGCTTCGAAACATCTTGAATAAAAGTATGGAAAAAAGTCGCGAGTTACCTGATTGGGAACGGCATGGGCCGCTGGGTTGCCGCCTTTACTCCATGGAGAAGGCCTGCGCCAAATTGCGGTGATGATTGGTGGACCTTTCCAACGACTTCGCCAACAGCCGAATGACGTCCTAACAGAATTCCTGGGGAGCTAGAATTCATTGGGGTCCCTTGCCTGTCTATCTGTTGAAACTCAGGGCGCAGGACGAAGCTCACCACACCTTCCACATGGCCACGGTGTAAATGGTTTACATGGCTGTCCGACCACGACATTCGAAAAAGCGCATTGCACCCTGATCCATCTTACTCCTCGAAGACACCGAGTTGAACGAAACTACAGACTATGCGCCTGGCATCATAGCTATCCGAACTCAGGAGAAGATCGACGGCGGCAGACCGAAGCAGCAACGGCCGCAATAATGAACTTCACGACCAGCAGCACACCAGATGCCACAAAAGGCGCACGCTACCTCGGCCTCCTTGACCAGGCATTATGCAATGGAGAGTATGGATCAGTACCAGAACTCGCGCGAAAGGTGGACAAACATGCACCGGAGAGGAAAGGTAGGCACGGCCTGAAGTGCCTGCGAGGGTCACGGATGAATATCACGAGAGATACTGAAGGATGATACAGCATTTACCGCGGCTGCGCGTGCCTCGTCGAAAATCGCCTCAGCCTCGCACCGACCGACTTCGGCCTCGTCCACCAACACGACGAGTTTGCACTCCCTAGCAGAACTGATTCCACAGCTAACACAGGGTGGAGCGAGTAAACATGACGGAGATCTCTTCATTGCCGCAGTCACTGCCGCAGAAATATACTGGCTACAGGAGGATTGTCCAAATGCGCTACAGGTCCTCACGGAAGCAGTGACGGCGTCAAAGGCATCAGATTCGATAGACACAGCGGCATCACCGGAGGGATGGCTCGAGATCTGTTCTGTTAAGGCTGCTCTGATTCGAGCGTATAGCTTGGACAATGCTGGTCATCACAGCGAGGCGCTACAAGCATATCAAGCCGCTGTCAGACCGGCACCGGGTTACCGCTCGCCGGAACTGCGCAAATGGTGGGAGAGGCTGCTTGCGAGAGCATGCATGTACAGCGTCAAGAAGGCTCCGACTTCACTCACAAACGATTTGAGCGGAGTCTACAAAACCTTCACAGCTTGGGGTGCTTTTTGGCTACGCGCCTCGACAGCGAACCATAACTTCATCGCCAATTCATCCCACCTCGATCTCCCTCGTCGGCAGGTATGGCGCGCATACTACGAGCTCCTTTCCACTATCATTGCCGAAGATTTGGTCACGGATACCACTGGTGCGCTGGTGAAGTTCGACAGTGGTGCATCCCGGGAATCGCAATCCGTATTGCGACGTGGCCAGCATGTCGAATTCAAGCGTGTCGAGTCGACCTACGAATCACTTCTGCTCAATGAGACCAATTATCCAGCTTCCAGCGAGCGAAACCATGAAGTCGAGGAGCTGGTGGCTACAGTCATGACCAACTGGACTATAATGACAAGCTTGGCGTGGTCCAATGCCGATCTCGGCGATGGCGGTAAAGATGCCGTCTCTCGAGGCGTTTTGGACATTCTGTATCGTGCCGCCACAAAGACATTCCACTCAACGCCAATCTTGAGACATCTGTTTACGGTGCACGCCTCTCTGTCCGAGTACGACCTCGCCATACATGCTTTTGACAGCTATGCTGAGATTGTGACACGTGGAAAGGCGCGAGCAGATAAGACAGGCGAGCACGAAGTTGGTCTGGACAGCGATGACTTGGCAATTACAACCGCTGCCGAGGCCGTTCGGATTCTGTGCCGTTTTGGAGATCGTGATCACGCTGACAAGGCCATCGAAGTTGCGTCCAAGGTTGAAAGTTGGCTGCATTCGCATGAATTAGAGCTAACAAAAGAAGACCTTGAAGTGCGTGGCGTGCCTGAGGAGACAGAAGTGAAGTCTGAACTTCGCATCAAGCCAGCTACCCTAGCCGCAGCATATCGCACGATAGCCATCACAAAAGCACAATCTGCTCATCTCACGTTTGAGAAAAGCGATCGTCTGGATCACCTGCAGACAGCCGAGAAGTATCTCCAGCGGGCCTTGAAGTTCGACCCGGTGAACGTACAGACTGCCCACGCCTTAGCGCTTGTTCTCTCCGAGCAACACGACGTTACTGGCGCCGTCAAACTGATCAAGAGCACGATCGCTGCGGAGCAAGCCTCTTCCAAGTCAATAGGATCCACGAGCAACCGAACAACCAAGATCGCTCGTAGTATACAGATGGTCCCGCTGTGGCACCTGCTTGCACTTTGCTTGACGGCGAAGGATGAGTTCGAGGCAGCTAGTCAAGTTTGTGACACAGCTTTTGAGCAGTTTGGTAATCTCGGCGCGATATTCGGGGCCAACGGCACAGTAGCCAAGGACAAGACTGCCAACCTCGGCTCAAGCGAGCTACTGGAAAGCTTGACCAGCTTCGAAAAGGAGTCACTTGTGCAAGTCCAGATCACCAAACTGGTCCTTATCGAGTTGATGGAGGGCCCCGACGAAGCGGTGAACTCAACAGACGAGTTACTCAGCCTATACTCGAGACTGTTTGGAAGCCCCAGGTTTGACACAGCAGCACCGGCAAATCTCGCGCCGAATAGAGCACAATCGATATCAAACAAGAAGGGAAGTACTCTTCGAAGTATAACAGGAAGCATTCGTCCGAAGTCAGTGCGGTCGGTGCGTCTATCCAGCGAGAAGGAGGCGCCATCTACCGAAGGAGCTCCGCCCATGCCCGGTGCGCCAATCGGTGCTCCAATCGAGATCACTGTGACCAATGAAGATGGACAGGCGTCGAAAAAGGAAGGCCATCACCATTTGCACCTACCACACCTTCCCAAATTGCACAAGGACGCAAACAAGGATTCTGCAACTGTGACTGGTGAGACAAGTTCATCTACCACACTAGGTCCGGTTCCAGCCGCTGTCAAACAAAGCGCAGCTGCCAATCCCAGCCAACCTCTGCGCGAAATTGCGCATAATGGTACTCACGATGATTTGCCACCACCTCCAGGACATGACGAGCAGCCGCCTTTTCAAGATAAGCGCCTTCCCGTACCGCAACCTGGCTCGGGACCGAGCACGTCCATCTCACCTGACGTCGCATATCAGGAACGAAGACATCAGACGAGCTTGTTGGTTAAGATCTGGCTGTTCGTCGCTGGGGTTTACGTTCGTGCGCAGTCTTTTGACGATGCCTTGAGTGCGATCGAGGACGCGAAGAAATGGGTCGAGGCGCTGGAGGCTGATCTGGCTGCCACGAGGGACGGAATGAGTGCTCGGAAACTATTTGAGAAAGGTTGGGGTGGTGGGAAGAGTGTCGATGCGATCTGGGCGGACTGGTGGTCTGCAGTAAGTCACGGCCTCATCTTGTACCCAAATTATCTAGTCTGGATGCTAACGAATCTACAGAAAGCACAACTTGCGACCTCACAAGAAACTCCATTCGTCGCCATGGCAGCCTACGAAGAAGCTCTCGCCTATTACCCTGACCATCCCGCCGCCACTGTCGGCATCGCCAATCTCCTCATGGATATCTACGAGGAGAAGATCCCTTCGGAAGAACCTCTTCTCCCGCTTCACCCATTCCCGCTACCGTCCGGCAGCACTCTTGTCAGCGAAGCCCGGCCGGCGCTTACGCGGCCGAATTCCTCCTCCGCCGCAGGCACCAGCTCCCGGCCGATTTCACAACACAACATCGTCACCCTCTCGCAATCCTCCGCCATCGACGCCCTGCAAGAACAACAAGATATCGTCGGCTCGAAACTGTCCCGTTGCGATCCGTCTCCTGCCGAACTCAACCGTCTGGCCGCCCGTGAGCGCGCGTACATCCTTCTTAAGAATTTGTCCCGAAGTGGTGCTGGTTGGGACGACTCCGAGGCGTGGTATGCGCTCGCCCGAGCGCATGAGTTGAGTCGCGAAATTGGAAAGGCGAAAAGTGCGCTCTGGTGGGTCGTCGAGTTGGAGGACTGTCGGCCGGTTAGGGATTGGAGGGAGGTTTCGCCTGGTGCATACACACTGTGAGTGAGGGCTCGAGAGCGTAAGAGATAGACTCGAAGAACTCGAAGAGGATATCGTAGGAGTGTAGATAATGTCTAGGAATATAGACCCGTGCTCGAGATAATTACCTCGACGAATGTGGATGCATTACAACACATTGTGATAAGAAAAGCCGTTACATCAAACTATCCAATATTTGCTGCGCTTGAGATAGACCTGAGAATTGGAGATCACCCGTCGACAAGAAGTCCTAACATAATTCCTACACGACAAGTGATCATCCAGCGACGACCTCGTACTACCATGCCATCAGATAACAAAGAAACCCCCCCATGAATAATGCGTGCTGTATCCGATATCTACCTTTTCCTTGGCCAAAAATAAAAGCAGATCCCACAAAGAACCGCAGCAAGGATAACAAAAGCCCAAGCATTTGACTCTGGCGGAGGTTCTCGATGGTATGAGTATGGTCCAGAATATTGGGTCTTGTATCGGGCAGCAGATCTTCTTACGGCGGCCTCCTGTTCCGCACGAAGAAAATCTTTATATCTCTAAATTGCCACATGCTCACTAGCTCGAGCCGCCGCTTCGACTTCATGCGCTTGTTTCGCGGACGAGATTTGCAAGTCATTCAAGGGATGTGGAGGCTGAAGCGTGAACCCCGACATGTCGATGATGTCCATCAATGAGAAGTCCTCGAAGATGCGATAGCCATCGCGGAGTTGCTCGAGATGATAGATGCTCACTTCATAAAGTTGGTGAGCTCTTACAACGAGCGTTTGTATAGACCTTGGCCGTCGCGTAGATGTAGCAGCATGCCATGATCAGGGTGGGGATCAGAGGGCGCAATCGGTAGCAATTGGCGCCGATTTTGAGGATTAAAGCCCCGAGATGTGAGAGATTGACCGCGGAACGCAGTGATCTATATACTCGTGTCAGACGCATCCGCGAAGGAAACCTGCTGGTTTGGGTCTGACTTGGCTCACGATAAGAATGGCATGTTTTCCACTTCGCTGTGGGACATGAGATAGCACCACGCATGGATGATCGTGCGCCGCCGCTTCGATGCCTAAATCACCCCTGACACTCTCCAGCCTGGGGATCCAGAGAATTTGGCCTGCACGAACAGATACATCCAGAAACCGGTGGTCTTGCTGCGGATAATCCACAAATGCGATACGCTGGCAAAACCATACAAGCTTGAGATTCGGAGGTGATGTAAAAATTTCCATCGCGGCAGGTGATTAATATGCTTACAATCGTCTTGCTGGCGGTATAACATGCCAGCGTTGCACACATATGGTGGAGTTGGGCTCGCTGACAAGATACCTCTGTGTACATGATACATGTCTACACGTAAATTCAAAAACGCCTGCGCAACTTCAAGACTTGCACGGCTTCGCTCTGAGAGTATTATCCGCCTGGACCACTCAACGCCTTGATTCGATGGCTATAAATGGTTCGCCTGCTCAGGAGAGAAACTTTGGCAGGCTACGTCGTTGTGAAACGTTATGCTGCGACAGTGAGACAGCTTAGCGCAATGTGTCCATGATCATCATTGGAACAACCATTTTGATCGGATCTGCTCAAGAAAGGTCATTGAAAACGAGCGCAGGCACGATAAAGCAATATCGCCAATTCAATCTGTTAGCGCAGTACTGTGCGACTTATTGAGGTGCTCGACCTCTGCTGGGAGCGATTCGGTGTTCCGTCTTTTCATTGCCCGCTCTCCGCACGTGTTCTACTCTTCATTTGGCACCCGATCGCAGCTTAGCCTTTCGACGCTGTCGTAATACTAACCAAACGATGATCCCGATAAGTATGACTCCGCCGACGGTGCCACCCACGGCAGCGCCGATGGTCGCTCCCTTCGAAATGCCGACGAGAACCTCATTTATTTGCTGCTGGGGTGGTGTCGGCGATGCTGTCGTTGATAAGACTTGGCGCACGTGGTGACGAGCATCTCGGATAACCTCTCTGGCTATGGGCTTCATGTTCACGAGTGGTGATTCAAAGTTGGTGGACAGCTGGTCTGATGATGCGGCGGACGTGGAGAAGAACTCGCTTGCCGCTTAAGTCGTCGTCGTGCGGGACTGATTCCAATTGCAAAGCTCCTTGGTGTGGATCTTGCTAGACATGTAGAAGTCTGGTACGCACCGATATTGAGATCAAGGACGCGCAAGTTGTAGTTTGAAATCCAAGACAGAGGGAATAGTCGAAAAGGTCAGGGTTTGGGGCGCAGTCGGAAATGCGGCACGGCAAGATATGTATCCACGCATGATGGGGAAATGTCTGTGATCGGATGGCTTCAAAGATCGACTGCCAAGGCTGCATTGTCCTTTGGAATGCACAGCCCTCTGGAGACGCGGCGGTGACCAATATCACAGTGGGTCTTGTAGGCGTAACCGACTCCAGATTCGTGAATACGCGTATGTAGTTAGCCACGTGGTATCCTACACATTGAAGTAGCGTAGAACAGAGGTTGCTCACGCGAGCGAAGGTTGTTCCGTAAGGTCATGCCCGAGGTGGTCTCTGCTTCACAGCACCATCGTGCATAACAGAATCGGCCGAATCGAAACCAGGTCCGGTCGATTGGCGCGCTTGTTGGTGTTGTCTCTGCGGCTACTGTTCACCAAGGACATTCTTGTCCTGGAATGGAATGGAGCCGGAGGGGAGGGCATACATGATGACCCATACAAATAAGCAAATGTAGTTGGATCTTAAGGTTTGAGCTAGCGGCGGCTATGCACTGTCCTTCCCGCAGCTCGATGAGGTTAAAATGCGACGTCGATCATCGTGGCTGTGCTGAGGCCGCTCTGGTCTGACCCCGATGATGTGTCCATTTGGATGAAAGGATCGTTTCGTGCAGAGGAAGGTGAAATGTTGGTTATATTCGCACGTCCTGATTGATCAGCTGGATCGTGTTTGATGAGGAGAATCAAATCAATGGAGCCGTGTTATCCGGCTTGGATTCTCCCCACTGTGCGGCTATGCAATCACGACGAGGAGCTTAAACCTCTTGGCAGCTCTGGACAAGACGAATGAAGCGACATTCTACCACAGTCAAGCTTCAATTGCGGCACCGTCAGCTACGTCAGGTCCTCGGTCCGCTCATTACGGTGACCACCCTCGCGTTCCAATGAGCGACGGGCTTCGATGTTTCCCGCGGAATCTTCCGCATCCCGTCAGCATCGTTTGAGTCTCTTCTCTATCCCGAAGACCTTGATTTTTGTGTTGCGACAGGGTTCTGTGATGGCAAAACGAGGCTGTGTCGTTCCAGACACCCGGGTTTCAAGCTCAACGTGATGAAAGAATGCAAAATCCGTCGACTTCAGAAACAGGCAAGATGTGCCATATATCAAGGACGGTCCCGATCACGAGTTTGAGAATGGCCATGTCAAATCAGCTTACCAACAAAAGATTGAAGCTGCTGATCTGAATACTTATCCGATATTTGTACAATATCTTTTGGCCTCATCATGGCTCACGGTCCTCCAGACTCCGAAGGGCAGGACTTGGTTGCTCTCACCGATGCCGAATTTCTGTTATTCCTCCAGAGCCAAGCCTCCTCACAGTCCGCTGGCAAGATGGCCGAGAAGTCGACCGCAACAAGAGAAACAAAATGGGACGGGTATACGCTCCACGACCCGGTCTGGAATCCTGCACAACAAGGCTCCTCCATGGGCACATCGACCAATCAGCAACAATGGCTGCTCTCATCGAATGACTCAAGACCAACCCAGATGAACACGAACACGACCATCGAGCCACAACAAAGCACGAAAGATCTACAGCGCGTCCAGTGTTTTGAGCACGGCTGCAACGGTCAAATATTCTCGTCTCGCGAGAATTACCTCCGGCATGTCCGCGAAAAGAGCGGAAAGGGCGCGGCACAATGCTTGATGTGCGGGATGATTTTCACACGCCGCAGCAACCGCGATAGCCATGTCTTGCAAGGAAAGTGTCCGACCCAGCTGCGTGGGCTGTGAGGATTCGGAGAACGCAGCTTTCACATTTGCTTGTTCGAGTCGGTCGTGGTTCGAGTCCGCGGAGAAGACGTGCTCCTTGGTCACGCCGACGGATGTGAGACCGCGAGGGCCTCAGAAGCTTTATGATCCCTGGTAGAGGCACTGGTCAAGATCGCTCGTACGGGAGCGAGTGTATCGATATGTGAACATTGACGGTTCAAACTCAGAAGATCTAATAATAATCTAATATTAATAATCAATTGTGTCGAAATGGGAGAAACGTGTCCATGAAAATTCTGTCCTCTTTCTTTGCTCCCCCTTCTTTAATAATTATGCATTGCACTCTTCATTTTACCAAGGCGATGATCGTCATCTACCTTCAATCACCTAGGAATGCAAGATCTCACACAAGCTTAAAATCCCGGCCCTCACGATGTTTTAAAGAGAATCTGAACGGGAAGTAGTCCTGAAGTATGCCAAAAGACTCGTAGAGATGGGCTTACATCATATCCTTCGCCCAGAAGTAGATGAGAGCTGCAGCGCAAGCGAGAAAGATGAACAACATAAAGTCCCTTGGGCGGCCCCGTCCGCGGTCCTGAGACCCATGGCCAGGGCTATGTTCTGCTGTTGCGTACGCTCGCGGTACATGGAAGAGCGGTAGTATAGGACCTGTTTGCGAACGGGGTAGTCTGAGAGAGAACGATGCTGAAGTTGGCATTTCTGGTACATTTACGAGTTGCCGCGGAGGTGTAGGTTCCATTGTGCCATAAAGCCTGGTATACTCATTGGACAGGTAAAGCGGCTGAGGAGGCCCCAAAGGCGCAGCGGATGTATCTGTGAGGGGAGGGACGAATGCTTGTTGAGAAAAGCTTGCCTGGACTTTTGCTTTTCTGACTGCTCGGCACGCTTTCTTGCCGGGCTTTCTCTTCGGCTTCGCGATTTCAAGAAGATCTTGCTCCATCGGAGTGACGGACTCAATTGGCGATTTCGGCAGGTTGAAGATCTTATGTCCAATGTTCAAGAGCTCCTCGTGTGAGTAGATCCCGCGTGTGCAATTCTTGACATCGTGCAGTATGATTCTTTCCGGTGATAGCATGGTGGCCGATGCCCCGTTGAAATGAGAGGTTGGCGTGGCATACGATAGACCTGAGCACACGATAGTCTCTCTCAGTCGTCTTTCTGCTGACGCCTGGACGAAATGAGAGTTGGGCAGAACTGGTGGCTTGAAACCGGACATCTCGATGAGCTGATGCAGCGACTCATCCGTGAGGTTCCGCCTGCCACCGTGATAGTCATGGAGATACTTCAACTCTATCTCGATCAAGTTCCCGACGTTCGCGCAAGAAGCTTTCAGCAAGACGTTCCCTCCGGTGAGATGTAGCAGCATGCCATGATCAGGATGAGGTCTGGCAGGATCAATGGGGATGAACTTCTGACGGGCTTTGCGCTTCAGACCCCAATCAATGAGTGGTCTTCCGCCTGAAGAAGTGATCTACGTATGCGTTTCCGAAACTTAGCCAATGAGATGAGTTGCAAACGGTACGATGATGTAGGAGACGTACAATCAGGATGACATGTTTGCCATTATCCTTAGGAATGTGTGATAGTAGAATGCATGGATGATTGAATTGACCTGGCTCAAGAGCCAAGTCTCCGTCAACTTCCTTTGCCTTTGGGATCCATAGAATCTGTCCCGCACAGGCGGGTGAAGACAGTCGCCTGGGTGTCTTGCTTGGAGAGCCAGGGCTTGGAGGACTAGCAGAACGACGAGCCATGATGTCTCAAATTATCCGAATAGATACGCTTGGCCATCGCGGATATTAAGTGCTAGCTTTCATCGTGGGATATCATCAATGCCACGCCACCTTGAAGTGCGTGGCGGAGCACCAAAGCTATGCGTTGACGCACGTGAGGTCGCCTGCACGCACGCGTCCGGCACAGCATGCATGCCACACGCTGACCAAATGTACAAGCTCCATTCTCTCGCCTGTGATCCGAAACTCCCGCTAACACATTGATACGACGACATCGTTGCCGCCATGATATGTCAGGGCTAAAACGGGAGAAAGCAGATGAGGTGGGAAGCGCCGGAATGCTGCTCCATGGGCTTGAAACACTGGCTGAGCGGGCCGCAGCGGGCAGCTCTTCCGCTGCGCCCCTTCGCTCCACGGAATTCTCCAACCGCTGCGACAGGTCGTCTCGTCTTGCACAATCCTCGAATTCGGCGAAAGAATGAAGCCCTGGAGAGCTGCAATGTGACTGGACATGTTGAGCTACGAAGTCCAAAGTTTGAGACTCCCCGAGTGCGTCGTGAGATCTTCTGCATAAATTATCGCACCGTACAACACGCAACTCATCCCTCGAGAAAAGCTTTGTGTTGAATGGAGCTCGTCGACGACCGGGGATTTTGATTCACGCTGCTTTTCACGCTCGAATCCGTTGACACCGAAGCATTCGTGCGAGAGTGCATATGATCGCTCACCATGCATCCACACGAAGCTCCCCACTTCTTTCCAGATACTGTTCCGCAAGCTCGTATCTTTGACCACTCCCACCGTCAGAGAAGTGTTTGAGGTATTTGAACTCGACTGCCACCACTTCTCCTGCCTTGACGTAGGAACCCTTCTTCTATTTCTTGCCATTCTTCAGATAGAGTAAAGCGCCGTGATCTGGGTGTGCCGGGCAAGGATGAAGCGGAATGGTCAATTTCCTTCGAGTCGATCCCCAAGAACAATCATCGAGTGTCCGGCCGTTTAGTAAAGAGATCTGATGTGAATGTGGCTAGTTAAATTGCTGATTCACCATCAAACTACCACGCACTCACAATGAGAACAAGAATACTTCCGTTGTTCAGCGGCTTGTCACACAACGAAACACATGGATGACCGTGAATCGCCGGGTTTGGTTCCAACGAATGGCCAATATCCGCTCCACATGGTGTCCAGAGAATTTGACCAGCATGGGCAGGATCGCCAGAAGCCGTTGTCATTGCGCTGATCGAGTATCGGCCAAGTTTGAAAAGTTTCTGCTGTCGATCGGAGATCTTTGCATGATTGCGAAGAGTGAGAGACTATGGTTCCTGGGGGAATCGCGCAATTACACCATTCCATTCAACAACAGATTCCTCACTCGCTTCTTTGTCGCGCATGGATGAACGGAGCGGAATGGCGTAATCATTTTCACGCTGAAATGACGAAGAGAGTTTGGAGGATCGGGAAGACTCAGGTCAAGTCACGAAAGCGACCTGGGCAAGACTACTGCACTTGAAACCTCCCCGAAACAGTGACCGAATTCTTTTTGGTTCTCTCGGAAGTTGCTCTCCAAAAGTGGACGCATTCTTGATTGATGCTTCGGTCCCGCACATCTCGCTGATATGATGAGTTCTGTCCACTCACAGTGAGGTAATGATGCGCTGTTATACTGTTGCGCTGAATCGACGTGGAGCTCGTTGCTTCAGAACTTGCTGAACAGAATAGGCAAGTTCAGGGTGGTGGTATGTAAAGAGGGACAGGAAGACGCTAGATAATCCTGGTTTCGTCGACAAATGATCGGAAGGCTTCCAATTGTTTCATCATGTCCTCGGATGGCTGGGTAAGAGGAGATTCCCGATAGAAGTTCAGCTGCGTCCCAGTGAAACATTTCCACCGCTCGGAGATCTGGTGAGCATCGCGGACAAGGTCTTCAGGAGGATGCTCGGTCGCCAATTGTTCATCGGGTGTGTTTCGAACGCTTTGTGCTACTTCAAAGCCCGAATGTCTGATCATGATCTGCAGCGATTCCTCGGTGAATGTGCAAGGTCCGTCACGATATCTTTGCAGATGGTCGTAATCAACCCAATATCTCTGATGGGTCGCCACGTAAGAGATATCTCTATCGATCAGTTTACCGTTTTGAAGATGAAGTTGAATTCCGTGTTCCGAATGCTTCGGCGTCGGACTGACCGGTAGAAGCTTATGTTTGAAGCCCCGTGAGAACATTCGCTTGTCGACTGTCATTCCACGAAGAGAGGTCATCTACGTAATGTCGATACTGCTTAGCATAAGAGGCTTTCAGTGAAGTGGGCTCGTTCTGCTTACGATGAATATGAGATATTTGCCGTCAGCTGGAATGTTTGACAAGATCACACACGGGTGGCCATCCGCACCCTTTGGCAGATCTGTGGCTCCGTGCCAGAATTTCTTGTGGGGTATCCAAAGGATTTGGCCAGGATAAACCAATGGGCGCTCCCTTTCTTCGGGCATAGTCTTCACTCCCATTCTAGAGGGGCTGATAGGAATGCTACTTTGGAATACATTTATTCATTCAATAGGATGCAAAGTGGGCGTTGAAAGCTCTTTTATACGTCATTTCAGTGCTACCCGATCCCGACAGTACTGTAGTGATGTACTGTGTATCCAGTGGTTGCATGATGACGTGGATGTGGCTAAGCGCCAGCGCATCACATTAGTCGAGATCGTAGCTCCGCCGAGTGCCAGAGGCCGCCCCAAAGTAATTCACGTGTACTCTCAACACGTGAATCCTGTGAAGCGATAAGCCAGAGAATTCACCGATCCTGGAACCACATGCTCTCGATCATTGCGTTTATGATGATTCTCGTTTCGACTGAAGAATTAAAAAGATCGGTTTGACGAATTATGCAAGCATTAAGATTGCGATTCTGCATGATATGTCGTGCAAACTTGACGACATGACCTGATAAGGCAGCAATAAAACCAAGGAAACATAAAATTGCTACAACTAGCCATGGCCAAAAACCTTGATGCCGTCGAATTCGGGACCCCGCGAGCCCAATCTGTCATGGCAAAGCGCTCAGGACGAATGCATTCTCGTCCCGAAGTAGACGATACCGACGAAAACGCCCAGAACGACACAAGTGACTATTCTTCTTCTCCAATCAGGTGTGCGGGACGAGTTTGCGCTTTCGTACGGAGTATCTCCATTGTTGCCATCTCGACTTTGCAAACACGGATTTGTGACCGGCAGAAGTGGGGTTGTTTCGAGACTGTTTTCCGAAGTGGAGATATGCTGTGTTGCAACTGACGATGGCAGTCCGACATTCGATGCGTAGCTATACGAAGGGAATTGAGCCCGGGCCTCGAGTGGCACAGGACTCGCCGCGTGCTGAAGTGGAAAAGGCGGCACGAGTTCTGCTTCGGCTTCTCGTGACGTCGATGACAGTGAATCCGGATTCTGTAATGATGGCGCTTCAGGATATTGGCGCTTTCGGATCCGCGCCATGGTTTCCTCTGGAACAAGTCCTTTGAGTACGCCACTCTCTGTCAACAATTGTAGCATGTATTCAGGTGCACGACTCATCTCAGAATGCCTCGACGACTTTAAATTCTCCAAGGTATATGTCGACGGGAAGGGCCTTTGCAGAACAAGCGTTATAGAAAGATCATTTCCCGGATCTGGCGGCTGAAGCGTGAAGCCTGACTTATCGATGAGGTCTCGCAAGGATTCGTCTGAGAAGAATTGATGCCCGTTGAGATTCCCAATAAGGTAATTGAAATCAACGTGGAACAGTGTGTTGGCGTTCACATAGGAATTTTTGTGCTCTCCCTTCTTGTTTCGCAAATGTAAGAGCATTCCGTGATCGGGATGCGGTTCTGTAGGGCTGACGGGAAGGATTTTCTCTCTGATCATCGGAGAGATCTTTCGGTCAACTAGCTTATCACCGCCAAGTGAAGTCATCTGGCGCGAGTAAACATCACTTCCTTGCCGCATCACTGGTCCTCAGAATTGAATGTACTTACTATCAGTATGGCGTGCTTGCCATTATGCCGCACATCTGACAGAACTACGCACGGGTGGTTGTGCGCAGAGTCACTGAGCCCAAGATCGCCTCCAGCATTCTCCTTTCGGGGAATCCAAAATATCTGGCCCGGTCTTTTCAGGCGATGCTTGTATGGACGATACGGTCCGAGTTGAGAAGACCCCGTCGACTCCTCCGAAGAGTTTTGGGACATGTTGCCGCGGAACTGTGAGTATTGCCATCAAACATCTTGGAGTCGGGCATTTATCTATCAGACCCCATGCCATGTCAAACCCGATGCGCCGCAGTGTCGACAGCGGCTCAGCACTTTGGCTGTGTACCTGAAGACAAGGCATAGCAAATGCGCGGGGTGCTAAGCGCCCGTTCATCGCCACGTGCCAACTCATTATTGGTGCATGGCAAAGTCGCTTGAAACACTATGCTCATACTATTTCCGGGAATTTGCAGAAACTGAATTGTTAATATTTCAAAAAGAGGAGCGGCCGCTCCAACGCCGGACAACGGATGATGTTCATGGTGTTTCTGGTTTCTGACAAGTGAGGTTTCTCAAGCATTTTTAGGGTTCCGTTCGTTCCTCCTCCGCGATCTGAGGTGTCGACGCTGCGCCTTCTAGCTGCGCCCTAAATTCACAGCGGACCACGGGGACCAGCCGCCCGTCGCCCCCGCCCGCCGCCGTCAGTGCTAATTCGGAGCACCGCCCCATCGCTTTGATAGGAACATTTCGCGACGATTCAAGGATGAGGCGACTTGGTCACGCCTTAACCTTCTACGTGAATTCTTATGAATATAATCAAATGAACACCAAGAGTGTCTTGGAACGACCTAGTATCGAATCTCACGACCATGCCGCTAAAGCTCAAAGTGACGTATTATTGAGTATAGCCTTCCCATGAGCCTTATGTTTCATGAACACATCGCTACTCTTCAACTTTCGCAGGTGCTCTTTGGAGATTTGGGACAAGAGTGAGTTTCTGATGGCTCTCAATTCTTTTTGCAAGTATTTCCGGCGAGGGTCCGCATTGGATAACACAGGAGCATGGCTTTCTCGACTCCCCCCCGAGGTTGGTTCTACTCCGTCTTGAGCATCGTTATCCATCCGCGAATCGACTCGTGGAGGTGGTACTTCCTTGAAGCCTGCCTTATCGATGATCGTCTGCAACGACTCTTTGGTGAAGCAGCGAACGCCATCTTCATACCGCCTCAGATGACGAATGTCAGCTTTATATCGCTTGTTGGTGTTGACGTACGAATGTCTCTTCATCTCGTGCCCATGCTCCAGGTGTAACAGGATTCCGTTATCATGATGTTTTGGCGTGGGGCTGATGGGTAGAACTCGCGCTTTGAAATCCTGCGTGAATTCGCGATCCTCCAGTGATTGTCCAGTAAGGGACGTGATCTAATAAGCTCCATCAGTTGATGTGGTTTGATGTCTGCCGCGAGTAGAACATTCGTCGCTCACCAGTACGAACGTATATTTTCTGCCCCGTGGCCGGTCGGAGAGAATCACGCACGGATGATTATATGCGCCTTTGTGAAGCTTCAAACCGGCCCCGGAGACTTCCTTCTCGGGGACCCAAAAGATCGGACCCGGTAAGACCAGAGGTAGGTCCTCATCCTGGGCCCTCTCAGGCAAGCGTGCTGCCGCTGGAGGGTCTGGAAGAGATGTGGGCATGATCTTACCAGCACAGACGCTCTGGAAGGGGAACCTGGCAACGGAAGGGTCGCTCGAAGCTTGTCTCAATCAGAAGTCTTCTAAATTTGCGGTTTGTGGAATAATGTGGAGTACGCAGATTGGACGAGACCATGGTTCAAAGATCGGATCGGTGATGATGGGCCCTGTCACTGGATTGTATAGACCAATCTGGTGCGTCGCGCCACTGAATGTGATCAGCTTGCTTGCGGCACAAGGCGGGGTCATGAGCGACAAGCGATTCGGGACCCACCGCTTGCACTGTGTGGCCCCCCAAAGCATTTGGAATCCGTCATGCAGTGCTTGTTATGCCGTTGGGTATGCTCTCAGGCCCGTGCTTGTTTGTGTCTTTATGATAGTTTCATTTCGTTTTCTCTGCACACATCTGTCTCTGGACATCGCGGACATATGCTTTTGGACTTCTCTCGTCATTGAAACAGAAGTTAAACAGTATCCTACTCATTTGCAAAACTTAAATCTTTGCTCCGCCTTGGCAAATTGTTCGAGATCTCTGCTTGCGGAGTTCTTCCGCAAATGGCGCTTCTAGATATCTCGTGTACTTCAATTGAACACAACTTGGATGAAAGATGACCAGGAAGTTCGAGCAAAACTTTCCCCCGAATATCTAAGATAGTGTCGTCGCAGAGCATATTGTCGGATGTCATGTTAAGTGAGCATTGGCACGATCACTGGGACGTTGAATAGTGAGCTAAGACGAGTCATCCTTTGACAGACCAGCTGATCTCGAGCCGAAGTTGCTGCAGATACGGGAGTCCTAATTTCGGATTTGGTAAGAGTCGACTCAGGCTCTGTGATTCAACGAATGATGGATGAAATTCGAGTTTGAAATTCCAGCTTTGCTTGCTTCATCACACCAAACCTAGATACTGAGTACAATGTCTTAAAGGCAGCTATCAAGTCTCAGATCGGAATTTGCATCGAGGCTCTAATCTCGCTATTTACATGTGATGTAGGTATCAAGTAAAAGTCCCTCAACACCATCCATCATGTCTCGTATCTCGCTAGAAAAATAAGCGAGATGTGCCATCAGCGAGCATCCGCTCGCTCCGACGCAGACATGAAAGATGTCAGTGCTACTCTCCTCGATAATGTGAGTCAGCTCTTGCAGAGCCAAAGTTTCCATTGGGTCTTCGTGGAGAGTAACATGACATTCCCTGAGGAAGGACATATATGTAGCCATTCTTGTTTCTACGGTACAATAGAGGTCCCGGAGCTGCGCTTCGGGACACGTATAGCAAAGGGTGATGTTCTGGGGAAGTTTTTTCCCACAGCCAAGGCACTCCATCTTGGCAGTTCGGATACATTTGTTATCAGAGCGAAGCAGAAAATCCAGGTATCCGAATTCTTGTCGTATTCTGCCCATCATGCATAGCATCGACGAAGAGATATCATCTGAGCAGGAGTCAGCATCGAATAGTAGCTGTATAGATCTATACACTGACCTATGATTTCTTGAGGAAACAGTCTGATCAATGGATGGCATAGCCAAACGTCCTGAAAACCTGGTTCCAAGATCTTGATAGCGTTTTTCGAGACCTCGCCGAATTTGGTCGGCACACCAAGGAAATAATAAATGAGCAAGATAAGCCCAGTTTCCAGCGCTGTTCCTGAATCATCGATGCCTTCTGACCAGGTCAAGATCCAAGGTGACGCGACGCCAATACAGTCATATTTATCGCAGAGTACAGCGACTGCAGCTAGATCACGGATTGTCACATTCATCTCTTTACGGGCGCAGTGATGTAGAATTTTGAAAAGAAGCTCCATAGCCTTTGGATCGTCATCCTGCAAGACAATACGTGATTGCCCTTCGTCTTGAAGTGCATACGCCTCACTCATGTTTCCATTCAAGAGTGCTTTGAACACTGGCGAAGCGAGAGTGAGGACGGATGTTGACACAACGTAGGAATACGTTATTGCCTCATCACTCGTACCAGGAATCTGTATGATGAGATCCCCAACGGGGTCGAAGTAGACAAGTTCAGGCTTATCCTGCTTAGATGTTGCGACGACTCTGTTATTGTCAAGCAGCTGTACGCGATCATTAGTGCATGTCGAGCTAACATGGCTGAATAGACCAACCGCTGAGCCTGAACTGCCGTCAGCGGTCTCCGGCACAGCAAAATTTGATCCATCCATTATTGCCGTCGAGTCTGACACGACACCGGAAAACTCTCTTGTTCAAACAACGGCGTTCAAATTGTGGTGACTTTGTTGGGGATGCGAGGGTATGCAGTGACGGAGGGGATGAGCTTCTCTCACGTTCGAAACGATCCAGTGAAGAATGTTGCCCATCACAAAATTACGTCAGTGCGCCACAAATTGTGAACAATCTACCTACCTAGGTACCTAGATAGGTACTTTAAAACGCCATCACAATCTGACGATAAGGTCTCTGTTGTAATAGCCACAGCCAAATTACTGAAATTGGGCCTGTTTGCGCAATCATCTCTTGATCCTGGGATGTTTCCAGACGTACTCTTCTGCCTGTTGCATCCGCGACTTACAATTCGTAACTGCTGCATTCCAACACCAACGTAAATGAAGTGAAGGCCGGCAGCGTAATGGCACGACTTTTGAAGAGATGGCGTTTTGGAGACAGGGGTCGTATGTGTGCCGGGAGATGTAGAGAAAAGTTTTTGCGATCGTAAAATCACTCGTAGAAAAAGGGGCTGCATTACAAAATGTTTACCGTGGACTCGTACAGACAATACACGTAGAAACGAGTCGCTTGGTGCTACTCTCATGCAAGCCGTCATCCATTTGCGTCTCTCCCACGAAATTGTGTACACGTCTCTCAGCAGGGCTTCACCGTCCCCAAAAGTTCTAGCCCAGCCGACCTTGACGAAATCTTTGAGCTTCAGTCCCTCGATGTTGTCGACCAATCTTTCCACAACTGTAGAAGGATTTTTCACTTCTTCATCCAACAAACATAGGATTACAGTTCTGCAAATGTCCTCAGACGCAAGGAAATCCTTCGATCAGTTGAGGAGCATCCTGTAAACATATTAAGCCCAAGGGCTTCACACTGACGCCAACGTAATAGGCTCGCGGGAAGATCAGCAAAGATGAGTATTGAGTCTCTTCAGTGCAGCAGCGAGCTCGTATCATCGCTCCTGAGCATGAAAGACTTTGCTTTGCGTTGCGCTGCTCGGACATGTTTACCGCATTGTGCACGTTCGTTGTTGATCGTAGGGTAACAGCTTGTGACTGCGCAGATTAACTTCTCCGAGTCTTCTACTAAGCGATGCATTTCCACCATTTTTTCGTCCGTCAACTTTGCGATGCCTTCTGGACTAGAGCGAATGTGACCCTGCAGGAGATATGTGTCACGACACTTACTTGCTATCGACTACAGTAGGAGCTTGACTAGAGAATCATTGGACCAGCCATGCTCAAGACCAGGCATCGTGAGCTCTATCGCATGTTTTGTCTGAATGTTGAAATACTTTCTTGGCCGAGAAAATCAAATAGTAAGAATGATCAAGTACCTAGCAGGGTATGCCCCTTTGCAAGTCGTCGTTCTCCATCCAACTCAATACCAGGTCACGAGATGTCGAGTCAGGCTCCATACCGTCCGCGTCATGATGTAGGATCGGGAGAATGGCGCCCAACGCTTTCGTCAAGACTTCCTCGAAGACGTGATGGGCTATTCACCTTTTCCAAGTGTATGCGGTTCCTCACTCCACTTTCTAGTAAGGCCATAAAGACGCGATACGCAAATGAGAGAACCAGTGGTGATACTATGAAGGGGTGCAAGTTCTCATCTGGCAAGTTCTCATCGGCACGCCCTGGAACCTCTATTGTGAGCTTGCCGTTGGGGTCAAGTACGTGAGTCTGGTGACTTTTTGGTATGAAGCTGACTCCACTGGAAACTTCTTCATGTCTGCCAGTCGTTCAGAAAACCATACGAGATTCAACTTACATCATCCTTCTCGTCTGGGATGTTGTTTTCCATCGTGATATATACTTCCCGAAAGAGAGTACGCCACAGTGGGAGCCGGATACAAGTGACCAAGTTGCAAGCACTCACAAGTGCGAGGAAGTGGCGAGGAGTCTGCAACACCAGAATGTACCTTCGAAGGCGGAGTCTCCACCTCTTCGGCACCAGAGCATCGAAGTAATTGCCGCCGATCAGTCTTTGAGGATCAAAATGATCGAGCGTCGCAAGAAGACGAACAAACTTGCATTGTTTGCAGGAAAGATATCAAGAAGTAAGTCTTTGCAAGGTGCTTCTTTTGGTTGTTGTCCAATCATTCACTTGATAGATTGGAGACAGAAGATCTATTGTGCAGCGATGCCAGGAACAAGAAGTATTAATGTATACTACAATGCACAGATTCAGCGCATCACGGTTTGGCTCGTGACAGGCACTGCAAGATATTCAACCGTGTCGATCATGAAGCAGCAACCGTACACAACTTCATGTCACAACCTTTGAGAAGCGCTTGCGTCAATTATGAGACGAGCACACATCTCATGTACGTAGATGGAGGTCACAAAACTCTGCCGAATTTTCACAAGATGACAAGGATCAATCTGCCTTTTCCAGAGCCAAAGCCCAAATGCAATCCAATGACGACCGTAGATACGCAAACAGTTGAAACGGACAGCTTGACGTCAATACTCCTCACAGATCGCGCCCGTGGTCCTTCAATTGAAGCCCTTTCACATCGTCCACAACCTTCTCAACGTGCCGAGCGACTCTTGCAGCTTCAACGCGCATCGCGCAATGTTCTGGACAGTCGCTTCTGCCGATGATCAACGAGCTTGCATCTTGTATCCTGTCTGCGGCCACCCTCAACGAGACATTCGTTGTGGCGTACCTTCCAGTTCGGACGAGACAGTCCATGAGGAAGTCAACATACGTTGTCATCCGCGCCTTTTTATCGCAGCGAAGAAACCCAATTTCTTTGTTCCGGCATGGTCGACATTGGCGAGCTCCGCGTGGAAGGGACCGTCCACAGACATCGCATCCAATGTCATTCCTTACATGCGTGTCTGTCTTCATGTTGAGTCTGGTCTCTGCGGAGTCAAATTCACGTCGCAAATCATCAAAAGTGCTTCGCATCGACTTCAAAAGCCCAACTATTCAGATTTCAGCTGATGCCATATTTGAAGATTCACGGAAAGCTCACCATGTACACTGGCGGGCAGGAGGCTGTGTAGATCATTTGCAACCCAATCACCTAGAAAGTCGGGTGACAGTGTTTGTATAGCCATCTTTGTGACAACCTCGAAGTCTGCGGGATCTCTAATAAAGTATGCCGTGACCAGTCTTTGTCCTATATCGACTGTGCTAGTCTTGTGCGGCAGGGACAATAGCCATCTCGAGACCCAGGGTCTGATACTTTCAAGGCAGCCCCATTTGTCGGAAAGCATCGCAATGGCGGCGACAATCTCCATGGTGATAGCAATGCTGAGATCTTTGGCTCCGTGGTGCAGGATACGAAGGACGACCTCAACCGCATCGACATCATCGTCATATATGTAAATGGGAGCGGTGTCACCGCTTCGAACAGCCAGTGCTTCGGCCATGTCGCCTTGTAAGAGCTTGGCAAAGAACGATGAAGCCAGAATGAGCATGTCCGGTGACACGATAAAATGGTACGTTTTGCCGTTGCGTTTTTCGGTTGGCGACAAGGTGAGCGACCCGAAAGAGCACAGCCGAACGATGATGGGCTCTTCGCTTGCTAGTGATAGATCATTCGCAGCCGCATCTCTCGAAGTGAGCTATCGTGAGCAGCGTCAGCGTCACATAATTACAAGAATCGTGACAACGTACCGCCATAAGCTGATTCTCCATGATTCTTGAGAAGCTGGTGTTCGTTTCAAGAGATTGGAAGACACAGGCCTGCGTACAGCACAGTGAGGTGAGAGAGCGGTTGTTGCAAAGATCTCGTGAGAAATCTTCGAAAGTGGTGTTTCGCCCGCGAGCGACGAATGTTCTAGCTTTCCGCGCTTGTCGGGTGCTTTCACTTGTTGTGGAACTTCAAATGCTTCAAATTTCTCAAGTTCCGATGATCAACATCAAAGCTTTCACACGAGTTCCATGATGCGTAACACAGATTCATTACACGTGGTAAGCTTTCTCTTGTCCCCTCATGTCCACCGGATTCGGGGCGCGAAGGTAGAATCGCCGTCTGCGACCAACCTTGGGGAAATTGGCGGCGCAGAACGCTCAATCGCAGTGACCCAGCACAGGCAGCGAGTTGCAGGCGCAGTACTATTCATTGAGCTCCTACAGCATATTCGGTAGCTGGACTTCGATGACTTCCAAAATCTGCTATTTGAGCCTCGTTTATGCAAGCTGTGAGTCACTGGAGAATCGTCAACGCCAGTCAGGGACATGCTCTTTTTATGGTGGAGAGAGCGCTCGGCGTCGGTAATTGGAGAAGGCAGGCTCGTGGTCCTTGGCCCTCCTGATGCTTAATCGTCCCAGTTTGGCATCATAGTGTCGCATAGACCCAAATGGATGTATCGCATGCTCTTCATTCACCCTCTTGGCCTCCTTTGCCCCATAAGGCTCCCCCTTGGAATCCGTAAGCACTTGTAGAAGGCTTGAGCTGGTGGCAGATCCGGCTCGAGAGACGGTTATAGTCCAAGGAGGCGACATTCGTGAGTCGAGAGAGTGGACGAGGTTGCCACCGGGAGGACACTACGATGCCCGTGATCGTTTTTGAGACAGAGTTCTCGTAGGACTTGCAAATATGTCAACTCTTTCGACAGCTGTTGATTCTTGGAAATGAACGGGAGCTTCCCGGATGAGCATTGCATGTTTGGTGATTGTTAGATCTTCCGCCTAGTGAACATGGTCGTAGATTCCATAAAATTTACAAGAAAAGGGGTAGTTCGGGGGGGTCGTTGTCGCCAAACGCATATTTACACCACCTGGCTGATCAGGCACAGAACAAGAACATAAAGACGCGATGTAAAACGATAAGACAAAAAGATTGATCTCGGAGCAGCGAGAAGGCTCGCGTTCGATTTCTCAGGAATCCTTAGGAGGGAGGACTGTGGTTGGCCCTTATTCGACCTCCAGCACTCGAGGTGGCTGGGCAACTTTGAGTGGGTCTCCAAGCAAGAGCGATATGGCACCGCTAGACCACTGCCGCGATCGATTGCATACTTCCAAATTGTACGCTGGACAAGGAGATCGCTTTGCCCTCGTATATAATCCCTATCTCTGTCCTCTTCCTCTTCTCCCTCGGCGAAATCTCTTGCGCAACATTGCGATTCAGGGGTGGAGATTTCCGAATTTCCAGGGCTTGTCCGTGCGGTGTGATTGTGCGTTCATTTCTCGTCTTGTGCGGACGTTCAATATTCGTGCGACGTCATCAGTATGCATGCGACGATGTTCTCTTGGCCGTCAGCTTGATTCATCGCCATTCGTGTACGATGAGAGGCAGAGATCGGACTTCAGGAAGCTGCGTTGAACTTTTCCCGGTTTTTCACTTGCAGGGGAAAAGCCAGCACACGTGACCCTCGCTCCTGCCAAAAAGTAGTCCACCTGGGCAGGATGAAATTCGAGCACTGCCAATCCGCATCATTCTAAACTCTAGAGAGATCTTCCGTCCATCGCAATTTCTGCGTGGGACTCTTCTGGGCTTCCGCAAGAGCGTCGTCACTGCTCGCTTCCACGCGGTTGCCTTCTCAGCAAGTTCGATTCTGACCACCAAAACATGGTAGCTGTCGATGTGTGGCTTCCGAGGTTTGTACACGGGATGTTGCTGAGATGTTCGATTTGTGTATGATGTCTCTTAGGGTCCGTCGTCGCCTTGCATCCCTTTTGAGAAGCTCCTGATGTCGGTTGATACTTCATCGGTGCATCGAGGCAGCGATAACAAAGAACAATGATGTAGCATCTGCACTTGATCGTTCGTCCTTTTTGAGATTCTCTTGGACCAGCCCGTATCTCTGAATTCACTTTCGGCAAGTGATGAGGCTTGTTTATTCACGTCGTACACGTCTTGAAGAGGGCGCTAGACCGTGCACAGAGTATCGCGCTGGGCGAACATCGCGCTGGACCAAGTCAAGGACTCATAACAGCCTTGTCACAGACATTACCGAACCATGAGTGTATTGTGGGTGGGATAGCGCTGGTTTGTTGAGCTATTGCTATCACCAAACTCTCTTCTCAAGTACATCTGTTTAAGCCCCGAACAAATCCCCGTGTCGATTGATGGCTTGTAAAATCTCGGGCAAGGGGATCCGCTGTCGCTTTGCACCAAGCCTTGTTGACTGTCTTCCGTCATAAGTTGCGGCCCAATTGTACCCCTTCTCCTTCGCTCCATCTCGAACATCAGATTGCGTGGCGGTAGAGTGCTGTCGCTATGGCGTCGGGGCAAGAAGAGCGACTGAAGCACAGGTAGCCTGACAGACTCCAAAGGCAGAGTTACAGGCGACAATAGTTGCAGGTGCTGTAGCTCCCGCAGTAGCTCCCCATGTAGCCCCGCCCGCTGCGTAGCAAGCCGCGACAACGGAGGCACAGCCAGCTTGACACAGACCATAAGCGATGGGTCCGGCTTGGACGGCGTGGACGATCATGAGAGAGCCGATGAGGGTTTTGAGGGGCTGCATCGTTGCGGCTGTTTTTTAAGGGTGGGAATTGTGAATGCTAAAGTATCGAGGCTCTCTGTTAGCGGCCACAGTAATGAGCAGGCGTCATGCGTTGCGAGTCGCTCACAGAGTGCGTGTCACTGCGGGTTGAATCTCAGGTGAGTTCTTGCTGGAGAGAGTCGATGATGGTCGGGGAGAGGTGGTCTATTTATCATACCGGGTGCAGAAACAGGCCTGGTGGGGCATTCCGTCCAGGACACCCGCGACCGCAAGCTGCCTGAAGGGTTTTTGCGACATCCTTTTCGGGCTTCATGCAGCACTCCGTCTGTGCGCACGGCATTTGCGTGATCCATTGGAATAGAGCCTGCATGTACAGATGGTGTGCTCGCGCTTGTAGCAAATGAATGTACCTCGAGGGGGGCACAAGCAGGGGCTGACAAGCGCTTATCGGCCCAAACAATATGATCTGGATTCCTCATTTCTGGACGTCGCCAACACGAGATATTCTCTCCTGGTCAATCTGGCCTTTGCAAACCGAGTCCTAGAAGAAGCAAGTCAAGTACTGAACTATGGCCAAAAGTGTCATGCTTGCCACGGCCAGGCCAGTAAAGATCAGCTTCAACCAAATGGCTTGGAAAGAGATGGACCGAACACATCGTCCATCGCCTTGACGCTCTTTTGCTTTTCTGACTTCATGCGCTTGGCTTCCTTGATATCATCATCTTCATCGTCAACCTCTCCGCGTTTCATCGCCGCGTGCAGCTTCACCATGTCCTTTGTGGAAGGATCACGACACAGCTCCAGCTTCGACTCCAGCCTGTTGCGCTCGTCCTTGGATATAAGAACCTTGGGATCATATGCGGCCATCATCTCTGCACAGCTATGAATGGTCGCAAGGATTTTTGTTCGCTCAGGAGAGCCCTCGGGCAACTTCGTGTCGAGGTAGAAGCTCGTGAGGGGCTCATCGGAGAGGTGCATGGCTGCGAGAATTATCTGAGAGGGCGTGTAGAGGAAATATGCGTCTGTGAGCGAGGCGGCGGCGTCAACAAGCTCCCGGGAAGCGCTGTATGCGGCGAGCACGCGATCGTTGAGCTGCACAGTGTCCATTTTCACGCCAGCCGGTGGGGCCTGCCAGGGCGTCCTGCTGCTCGCCGTGATTCCAGGCAATGCTAACAGCTTCTCTTGTAGCTTTTTGCCGCTGCTCGTCTCCACAGCGCCGTCGATCTGTCCCAGCAGACCATCCACCAGATTTGTCAACTCCATCAGCACACCCTTGAGCCCTCGATATGGCTGCTTCACGTCCAGTGTGAATCGTAAAGCCTGCATGACTTTATACTCGGGCGCAAGGATGGCATCCGGATGAGCGCTGATCCGCGACGCATAGTCGGTGACTTTTGTGTGTGTGGCTTCGGTCTTGCTGGCAAGGTATAGGGCTGTCTTATATATCTCTTTCGGCGGATATGTCATGCAGGAATTGGACAGATAGAATCGCTTGAGATATTGCACCGCCGTAGCCTTGACATTGTTCGGCCATTGAAGATGGTCGCTGGTGGTGCGGATCAAGTCGCAGTATCGCTGAACGAGCCGAAGCTCTTCTTCCTCAGTCAGAAATCCGACATCTGCTGGGCTGTATCGACGCGCTCGCTCCAGGGCAAATTGATGAGTCTTCCGGCGTTGTGCAGCAAGCTGTTCGGGCGCAAAGGACCAGAAACGAAACTGAGATGACGCGCGATATATGTCGTCTTCACTGATGTCAGGCATCGTGAATCTTGTAACGGCTCCTCCGAAACTCGCTGGGGACGAATCTGGTGGAAGTGATTTGCACAGACAATGCGGGAGTGCGCGTTTGAACCGCGGGGCGATGTTGCTGTGTATCGGCTGGCGGAAGTCACTGCCCGCCGCACTTCCCATCAATCTCAACAATCCCAGCTGGCATTTCCGGATTCACGTAAGATCAATATCAAAATGTCGCCTACTCCATCAACTTCGAGGCGAGAGACGCCGATGCGAGGTCGCCTGGTCAATTCAAGCGATACTCACAGATCTTATTCCTTACCATCTCGGCGACCCCAGGACGGATGCAGCAAATAAATCCCAAGAACATCAGACACAAAGCATCTCATTTCTACCAGCTCGTTTGGCTTATCCGACCTCATGTCATTGGAGGACTTGCCGCCAGAGCTCATTTCTCATGTCTCCAGGTTGCTCTGCTCTGGAGACAGATTACAATTGCGACAAGTCTGCAAATATCTAGAGCGATGTACCTTCCAGGATTTCAGAAGGCGCTTTCGTAAAATAGGGTTTCTCATCACAACATCTAGCCTTACGATTCTGCACGGCATCGCTTCCCATCCCGAGCTATCCAAGGCCGTGGAACACATCTGGTTCAATCCTGACCTCTTCACTCTCAGCCACATCTTCACCAATGATGGTGTGCCTGATCGGAGTCGGGCTGAGAAATATGGCGGTTCAGCCCTGACAACCTCTCAGAATGAGATTTATGGACGAACCGTGATGGATCACCTATCCTTGCTCAATAAAGGTACATTGACTGCGCAGCTTCTCAGATCCATAGAGAGTCTACCACGTCTTCGAACTATAGGAATGCGGAGAGGTACTAAGTTCCGGCCACTTGGGAGACTGTCACTGCAGAACGCTGTTGGACTGGATCCTCGGCTGTTGGACCGTATCCGACCCATGCTCTTTTCAAAGTCACATCTGTCGTCAACTACGAAGCTACTAGTCTGGCTTGTAAGGACCCTGTCGGAGCACACGAGCCAGCTGGAAAGGCTGTATGTGGATTGCAGCGAGTTGGACGAAATTGCTCCAAATTTCATGACGGTACAGCATTTACGCTTGGCCTGTCATAACATTCGCGATCTGGAGCTCAATGCTTTTGCACCACTTACAATCAAGCATAACTATTGTCCCTCCGGATTTAGTGGCGAAGCCCCTTACCCGAGATCGCGGACACATGACGTTCAGAACATGCGATCCAACATGCATCTCCTTGGGAAAGAGACATTTGCGATACCTGAGTGCGCTAGGCTCGGTTATCGGATCGTACAAATACTAGGTGCGATGCCTATCCTCGAATCTCTCGCTCTCTACGTCTCGGACATATATTCCGCACACGCCAACTATTGCACGTCTGCGGTCGACGAGGCAGGTGATCCTCTACCTCAAGGGTACGCGTGGGCTGCCTTTGCGCGCATCGCTGGTAAAGTCTCCATGACCAATCTGACCAGCTTGAAGCTGGACAGCATCCGCACAACCGCGTTCTCGCTCAACATGTTTCTCTCCTCGACGGCACTGAAGCTGCAGACTTTGAAACTCCGCTACATCAAACTTCTCTCACCCGATAACGATAACGGTCATCGTAAGCAGCCACTTTTACCATGGAGGCGTGTTTTCTTTGCCCTTGCCAGCGATTATGCGAATTTATGCTGTGTGCTTTTCGACGGACTGCAGGTTTGGGAGGACCAAGCTGTGCTTTTCGCCGGTAGTTCAGACGAGATCGATGGGGATGACTGGGACATCGATGAGCGCGACGCGGATATCATTGAGAGGCTCAAGGGATGCTTTCCCGCTACTGCATCTCCCGTTTGTGAAGCTCAAGGCCTTCAAGTTGTTCGACACAGGCTGCGGAGCATCACCAAAAACCATTGGTATAGACCGACAGGCGAGTGGGTCTCGCCTTTCCCGACAGATTCTTGGTACTCTGATAGCAGTGGTGACGAAGATTGAGACGATTTGTTTCCAGAATGCGTCACTCAACCACACGCCCGCTCATCGTCGTCACGCGGCATCGATCAACCCACAGATCGCACCATTTATATATGAATCATGTTGGCAAACCTGTTCAAGTGGGCCTCGGAAGGTACCTAGGTATCCATATCTACTTTTTCGATACCAGCATAGTCTAGTCATCCATAATTTGGTCACCTCAATACGCCCCTTGCTCCGAGTGCGCCGAACCTGCAGTGCTTGCGACTTGCCGGCGTCGTTCTAAACGAGATCGACCATGAGAGACCTTGGCAACCCATGTTCCCCCGGCGATCGATCTTCTCCAGACTGGCCAGGAGGTTTCCAAAACCAAGACACATTCAATTCAGCTGTGTGAGCAGCACCAACGCCCGCGCTACGTGTCTTGAGTTCTGCGAAGACTTCCTGCAAAACAAGCAGCAGCGACGAACGTGGTTGGGACGACAGAAAATCCGATCAGGAAATCTTTATGAGGCTGGAGCGCACCGCGCCGGTCCCCCCTTCGTGGAAATTGGAGGTTCGAGGTGTTGCGGAAGTGCGCCATACGCTCCGGACGATCACCAAGCAGCACTGGTACCCGGATCGATTTCAGCAACTCAAAGAGGAAGCCCCTGGATTTACCGTGGTCTTTCAAGCGGCGAGGGAGTGTAGATCCTCGACGTGTCAAGTTGTCTAATTCATGCATGTATCATTTATGCGCGCGATCTTGGAACATCTGCGACGAAGGTCCATCTAATATTCTGCACATTCCCTCTCCAACCACTTCCGCGACAAGTCATCCTCCTTGAAAAAGTGCCCCGTCTTCTCCAGAATCTCCCGGTGATAATCGTTCAGCCATCGCTTCTCCTTCTCACTGAGTAATTCGACAAGTATCAGTTTCCGACACATGGGCACCATGGTGACATGCTCGAAACCCAGATAAGGCTTGTCGCCGAATTTATACTTGGTGGAGACCTCCTTCACCATGATGACATTCTCGATGCGCACGCCGAACTTGCCGTCTTCGTAGTAACCCGGTTCGTCGGAGATGACGTTGCCGACGGCGAGCGGGACTTCGGAGTATTGCACGCGGGTGCCGATGCCGATGGGCCCCTCGTGGACGTTGAGGAAGGAGCCGACGCCGTGGCCGGTGCCGTGGCGGTATTCCAGGCCATTCTGCCAGAGATATTGCCGGGCGAGGGTGTCGAGGGCGAAGCCTGAGGTTCCTTTGGGGAAGACGGCTTGCTCGAGGCCGATGTTGCCTTTGAGGACTAGCGTGTAGGCCTCCTTCTCGACGTCGGTGGGTTCGCCGAAGTGGAGGGTTCGGGTGGTGTCGGTTGTGCCATCGAGGTATTGGGCGCCTGAGTCACAGAGGTAGATTTGTGCAGGGTCGATGGTGGAGCAATTTCCGCGTTCGGGGCTATAGTGGATCACGGCAGCATTGGCGCCGGTTGAGGAGATGGTATCAAAGCTCAAGCCGACGAAACGATCGTGTTTGCTTCGGATTGATTCTAGCTTGTCTGCGGCGGCAACCTCGTCCAGGGTGGTCTTCTTCTCGATCAACTCGTGCTCGAGCCATGCGAAGTACTCTATGAGGGCTGCACCATCTCTGATGTGACACTGACGCATTCCCTCAAGCTCGGTCTCATTCTTGACCGCTTTGGCATCACCAATGGGTGATCGAGTCTCCTCGACCTTGTCCTCGCCACCCAGCGCACGCGACAACGCCCATGAAGCTTTCGTGGACACTAGATATTTCTGCTTCTTGAATGGTGAATCGGTGGTGGATTCTGATGAAGCTGTGGATAGAGCGACGAGGTCTGAGAAGATTGCTTGGTAGGGCTGAATGTCGATCCCGAGGAGATGCGCTTTGGCGTTCTCGGGAAGCTTCGATTCGTCGACGTAGAGAGTAGCTTTGCTGGGGGTGATGACGGCATATGAGAAGAAGACGGGGTTGTAGGGGATGTCGTTTCCGCGCAGGTTGAACAGCCATGCGATTTCATCCAGCATGCTCACAACAAAAGCCGCCGCGTTCTTCTTCTCCAGTTCCTTCCGTAAGTCTTCGATCTTCTCTTGGAATTTCTTCCCTGCATACTCAAGCCCGAGCACTCGAACAGGTTCGTTCGGTCGTGGAGGCTTGTCGCTGCCCCAAACCTGATCGACAAGATTCTCTGCGATGCCAACAAGCTCTTTGCCGCCCTTCTTCTTGATCTTGTCTGCGAGTTTGCGACCTTCAGGTGCTGTGATGGTGGTCGGATCTACTGCGACAACTTTACCACCCTCAGCCTGTTCGAGTGTCCATTCCTGCCATGTAGGCACGTCTTGCAGGCCTTGCTTGAGCAGAGTCCAATTGTCATCAAGCTGCTTGCTCGCTTGGTTGAAGTATCTTCCGTCTGTAGCAAGAGCTGCTTTTTCCAAGGTAATTACCGCGGTACCAGCTGATCCGGAGAACCCGGAGATGAACGCGCGACGAGCATCGGTGGGGGCTATGTATTCGGAAGAGTGTGCATCCTCGGATGGGACGACTGGAGACGGATGTCAGTCAGCGACACGATCTCATGGCGATGAAATGCGTACTGTAAATGTCTACCTTGTGACTTTGCATCAACTCCCGCAGCTTCTGCAGCCTCTCCGTGGTAGGCACGCGATCCATGTCGGTGGTGTAGGGCGCAGCTAGACGGGTGGCTGAAGTGGTCGACAGTAGACGTGCGGTGGTGGATGGGAATGAAGCATGAATTGTGCGAGACCACAAGCGAGACACACTGGATATCATTTGATCAGACCCGTGGACTGTGAAGATCGACAATGCTGCTTGGCGGCGCTCTTGTGAGGCTATCGTCGCTACACCCGATGCAGATATGCCCGACGAAAGTGGTGCAGCAGGGGAGCAGTTGCAAGTGACGACACCTAGGTAGTCACTGGTAGTGAACGGATTGTAGATTGTATGCAGAGTGTACAGTAGTCCTGTAAATAGTATTATATACAGTACCTAGGTAGTAGAAGGTAGTGTGGGGAGAGAAACCATATCAACCAACCATACCTGAGTTAGGTCCTGCCCGTGTATGCCTCCAGGGCTGCCAAATCGTATCGTCACCAGCGAAACCACCAGCTATCAGCAATTCTTCAATTCATCCATCTCACTTATTACATAATCAATCAATCAATCCATCGTCACCAGCCGACAGCGGCGTGAAAGTGAAACGCGGATCTGATATCGGACCCTGTCAGCTCGTGACTGTTCCAACCTTGAAAGCCCTCCAGCTTGTATACCGAGCAGGTGGGGGACAACAGAAAGGGCAAATCTTGCCGCATTGTACATGCCAAAGATTTGCCCTTCTTTTTGTCCCCAACGTGCCTAGGTATGCTATTGCCCCTCTCTCTCCACCGCAACTCACACGTGACTCCCTACTGCGCGCTGAGTCATTTTCCAATGTGCTCCAATCGAAATATTACTCATCTGCTCTTAACCCATAAAGCGTCATGAGCTCAAGCTCGTGTGCCGGCCAGTAAATATCTCGCTGCCATTGACCTCAAGGACCGTATCTCCAACAACCTCTTTCCTCCTCCTCCTCCTCCTTCTCCTCCTTCTCCTCCTTCTCCTCCTCCCTCCTGTACAGCTGGGCTTACAAGTGTATTTCTTACCTGTAGACGTATCGTCACGCAATTGGGGTTTGCATCCAGTGCACTGACGCAAACGGAAGGAAAGCGCCAAGCCATTGCTATCGTCCGCAGATAAGGAAGCAGCGTCACTGGTTACCTCTTAGACGCAGTCTCCATTGGCCGAACAAACCAAAACTGAAAATCGCCAACACGCCCGAGCAGTGCACGACATGTTGACGACGTTCGGCCTGCGGTCAGCAGGCAAGAAGATCCTCGTACAAACGCCGGGTCGACAGGTACGATTTTACTCTGCTCCGGGCGATCGCGCCATTCCTGCGGCCAAACAAAAATACGTCCCGACCGAAGGCACATATCCCAAGGGCTTCCTTGTTGGGAGCGCCCACGCCGGTGTCAAGGCCAGCAACACCAAATATGACGACCTCGCGCTGGTCATCTCGGATCGTCCATGTGTCGCAGCAGCACTCTTCACCAAGAACATCTTCAAGGCAGCTCCTGTACAGCTGTCGATGCAGACATTGAAAGAGAGGCAGTCTAAAGGTATCGAGGCTGTGGTGGTGAACTCGGGATGTGCCAACGCTGTCACAGGAGCTTTGGGACTGAAGAACGCTGCAAGAATGGCTCAAGAGATCGACGGCCTGCTCAGCAAAGAACAGTCAGACGCATCCTCAAGTGAGGAGCCTTCTCGGACATTGGTGATGAGCACTGGTGTTATCGGCCAGAACCTGCCGATTGAGAAGATGATCAACGCCTTCCCCAAGTTACATTCTAGCATTGGCGATACTCACCAACATTGGCTCAACACAGCTCAAGCCATCTGCACGACCGATACCTTCCCGAAACTTATCTCGAGGACCTTCACCCTGCCGTCGCATCCGGAGACCACCTACAGCATTGCAGGTATGACCAAAGGTGCGGGTATGATTCATCCCAACATGGCAACACTCCTGGGCATCATCTGCACCGACTGCAGCATTGACACCGAATCCATTCGACCCCTCCTCCGTGCCAACAACATCCGCTCCTTCAACTCCATCTCCATCGACGGTGACACCAGTACCAACGACACAGTCGCACTCCTCGCCAACGGTGCTTCTACACCAAATGGCGTCGCGCCCCTCGTTGCCCCACAGTATCTCCGACAGTCCCCAGGGCAGCCAACTGCTGATAGCGTCACATCTTCGGACGCCGCACTCCAAGACGGCCTCGCGTTCCATGCCGTCCTTGCGGAATTCATGACCGACCTCGCGAAGCTCGTCGTGCGCGACGGCGAAGGCGCGACCAAATTCGTCCGAATCCGCGTCCGTGCTAGCGGCAACATCCGCAAGTCACAAGATGTCGCGCGCAGCATCGCCTGCTCCTCGCTCGTCAAGACCGCGCTGTACGGCAAGGACGCCAACTGGGGCCGCATCCTCTGCGCCGTCGGCTACGCCCAAGACGTCATGCCCGGGAACCCCGACACCACGACCAAAGTCGTCGTGCCGGAACGCACCAGCGTGTCCTTCGTGCCGACCGACGGCAGCGCGGAGCTGAAGCTCCTGGTGCGCGGCGAGCCGCAAGACGTGGACGAGGTGCGCGCCAAGGAGATCCTCGAGATGGAGGATCTGGACATCCTGGTCCGCTTGAACGATGACCCAGCGACGCCGGACCCGGGTCCACAGGCCTTGATCGAAACGGTGGACGACCACGACGGGAAGAAGCAAGGGGCCTTGCGAGAGGCGGTCTATTACACCTGTGATTTCAGCCACGAGTACGTCACCATCAACGGCGATTATCGGACATAGGGGATAGGACGCGATGGGGAAATTTGGGAGGAATATATAAAAATCTAGAGCATGGGCCCGGAAATCTTAGACATTTCAGACTTTTTGCGTTTCGAGTGTTTCCGAGGTTTCACCACTTTGTAACTCCCTGTTCACATCGTCCTCGCATTTGATACATCATGTAAGAGAGAGAGATAGACCAAGGCGCCGAGAGCGATGGCAATCAGCCCGGGTGGCATACCTCATGGCACAGACGCACTTCACATCCGGAGAGACTGGAGAACATGACGAGGGAAGGAACGGGACAAAGCTGCTTTTTCTTTGAATTCCCCGTCTCGTCAAACACGAACCCAGGATGACAGAGCACCCCAGGTCGTCGCGGAGAGGACAAAAGAAAAAGTTTTGGTTTTGTTTTTGTTTTGTTTCCTCCACATTTCCGATCGAATCTCACATGGTAATAAGAGGGGGGCGGGAAATTGACGCATTCGGGTCATCATCGTTTCTTTCAGGGAGAAAGCAAGAGGTGGAATGGAACGGGACCGAACCTCGAAAAGTTCTTGTAGTCATCACTCGAGATGTGGATCATCATCGTTCGTGTGGCTATGATGTGTATATAAAAGGAGTGTACTTTGCGGAACCGCACGGACGGCGGTTCCGGCAAGGGGAGAGTGCGCGAAGAAAGAAACAAAGGCGTCGTCGTCCGCGAGGGAACGACTGCAAAAGATTCGGTGCTGGCGAAGGATTCAGGGCTCGAGTCATCGTTGGAAGCATAGGAGACGCCACATGTCTTCCGACAGAACTTCCCGATTGGTCCTTCAGGCGCTCGCAGCAGCGCCGATCTTCTCCTCCTCCTTAGCCTCGTTCAAGCCGAGCTGCTCGTCCGACCAGAGCGGTTCGACGGCGGTGGCGTCCTTGACGCCGACGCCGATGAAGCCCCCCTCGGCGGCCCAATCGCTGGTCCGCTTGATGCCCAGTTCCGACCAGACGCTCTCGAGGGCGGCGACGAGCCTCTCCTGGAACGTCTCGTCGTGGCCCGGGGTCGGCGTGATGCGGAGGCGCTCCTGGCCGACGGGCACGGTCGGGTAGTTGATCGCCTGCACGTAGATGGCGTGTTTCTCGAGGAGCAGGTCCGAGGCGCGTTTGGCGACCTCGGCGTTGCCGACGAGCACGGGCACGATGTGCGACGGGTTCGGGATCACGGGGATGTCCCGCGCGGCCAGGGCGGCCTTGACCGCGCGCGTGTGGAGCTGCTGTTGGCGGCGGTCGCCGCGGTGCTCCATTTGGTATTCGATCGCGGTTTGCGCGCCCGCCATCGTCGCCGGTGGGAGGGACGTGGTGAAGATGAAGCCCGGCGCGAGAGAGCGGATCGTGTCGACCATGGCCGCGGACCCGGCGATGTAGCCTCCGACGCAGCCGTAGGCTTTGCCGAGGGTGCCGGTGATGATGTCGACGCGGTCTTGGACGGTGCCCTTGGGGCTGCGGCCGGAGGCGTAGACGTCGTAGTCGAGGTGCTCGGCTACACCGGCGCCGTTTGGCCCGTACATGCCGACGGCGTGGACTTCGTCGAGGAAGGTGATCGCACCGTACTTCTCGGCAAGGTCGCAAATCTCCTCGATGGGTCCGACGCTGCCGCACATGCTGTAGACACTCTCGAACGCGATGATCTTGGGCTGGTTCGGCGGGAGCGAAGCCAGCTTGTTCTCCAGGTCGACCAGGTCGTTGTGTTTGAACACAATCTTCTTGGCGCCCGAATGACGGATGCCCTGAATCATGGAAGCGTGGTTCATGCTGTCGCTCAGAATAACACAGTCGGGCATCTTGCTGCCGAGGGTCGCAAGCGTAGCATCGTTGGCGACATAGCAGGAGGAGAACACCAGCGCCGCCTCCTTCGCGTGCAACTTGGCACAAGCAGCTTCCAAGCCGACTGCGTGCTGGTTGTGTCCAGAAATGTTACGGGTGCCTCCAGCGCCGGAACCGTATTTATCCAAAGTCTCGTGCATCTTTTTCAGGACTTGCGGGTTGCGACCCATTCCGAGGTAATCGTTGGAACACCACACGTCGACGCGCTCATTCTCGCCGTTCATGTGGGCACGCGGGAAGTCCTGGGCCAGGCGGTTGATGTTGTTGAAGTAGCGGTAAGATTTGTCCTTGTGCTTCTTGTCCAACTCATTCTTGTAGAACTCGTCGTAGTTGAACCGGGCAGCCTGCGGTGGCGGTGGAGGGTGGGCCAGGTTCTGCTGGCCGTGCAGTTGCTGCTGCGCGGAGTAGGCGGCCGGCGCTTGACGAGCGAATGGGACATGTTCGCGGCGAGCGGCGGAGGGCATCTCGACCGCGCGAGCCTCCTTGGGCGCCGTGGTGTGCAAGTTGGCTCGCGGCGCCTTGCTGTGGTAGGCACGCTGGCCGCCGACAGCGCAGGCGAGAGCATAGCGGCCGGACTGGACGGTCATGGCCTTGGACATGACCGGGCAGCGCTTCGCAACGAGCTGGAGGTTGCTCATGGCACCGCCGCCAGGAGCAGGCAAGGCGGCATTGGTGCGAGTGGACATGCTTCGGAGGGTGGCCGGCGAAGTCTTGTTCAAGAAGGGACACATGGCCCGAGATTGGCGGAGAAGCGCCTCCATGTTTGCAGGCGACTGGCAGGAAGTCTGGCGGCGGTTCTGGTGAGTGGGTGGTTTTGTTGCTAGCCGAGGGACTTGGAAATTCGTGTCGAAGCCGAGAATGTGATCGTGAGACGGACGAGATGTGGTATGCCTCCAAAGACGTAGAAGTCAGGATCCAATGGAACAGAACTGTTGGTCGTAGGTGAAGAGAGAGGGAGGGAGGGAGAGAGAGCACAGGCGAGGAGGGAGGAGAAGGCGACTACCGTAAATAAAAGAGACAAGTGGTGGGTTGTGGTAGTGGTAGTGAGCGAGAGAGAGTGAGTGCTTGCTGTACATACATTAGTGATGGAGTAGTCTGGAGGTTAGTGAGAATTATGCTATACGCCGACGCCAATTCGCCATTACAGTCGCATTTTCCCTACCACACACACCACACCAATTTGCAGCAGAAACACTATACTGTACGTATCATTATTACCAGGGACTTGTGGACTATTTGGAAACGCTGACACTTTTTCCCTCCATCATCATTGACTCGCACTAAATCGAGAATTACAGTAGGATAATGGTCGAGATTCCATTCGCCGGTCGAAACCCCGCCCTCCTGTTCTCTCACGCCCGCCGCCCATTATAATTGTCTTCTTTGCCGAGTCATAATTTATTATTGCTGTATACCCGTCGTCTTTTGCATACTGTATTATACATTATTATACTGTAGAGGGATGGACTCAGCCAATGTCTGCATACAGTATGTAAATATACCCAGGTATCGATTGATGAATGATGCTTAACGACAAACGGGGTACCCTCGCCACGTGACGTGAAGAATCATCGCCACTGCGGAATCTCCAGGGCTCTTATTGTTACTCCTGTAATAGTAGTTCCGGGAGGCATTGGCTTTTGTGGGTTCGAATTCATGCCTCAGCGCGGGAATTCATCGACATCTGGTATCTGACAGCGTACACAATGGTGTCCATCCGGGCAATCGATCTCGTGGTTATCTGGTTGAAATATCACCTACACTGCGTTATCATACACTTTATTGTTCTCCGCCTACACGGGGAGATGTGCGTGTGTGAGTGTGTGAGTATGTGTGGGTGCAGGTGTGTGGGTGTGTGTGTTTGTGCGTTTGTGGGTGTTGCGGAATCAACCCCGGGATTCGGAATTGTGGGAAAAGCCTCAGAATGTGGAAATATTGGTAATGACCCCGCATCTGATTGGCTCTCGGCATCTACCCCTTCCGAGAGCTCAAATCGAAATTGTTTGACATCGAGACCACCCGGGCACCTGGGCATTCATTGATCGTTTACAGTTTACAGTTTACAACCCACCGCCGAACTCTTATCGGGCGTGTCGGGTTCTCCTGGTGGACGGCAACAGTATCTCTTTGGCTTTGAGATATCCTCTACAGATCTGTTCGCTTGTCCGGAGATGCTCAATCGCATTGATAGCGCGAACCCTGACAGGGTCTTTCACTCCTCCTTGGCGGTAGGCTGAGACGGACACGAGAGCGAATGTGAATCATGATCCATAGTAACAAGGCAAGAACGAGGCACGAACGAACTTCACGACCATGTCACCCAACATCGTTCGTACAACTCGGATCTCACACCAGTATTGCCGCGCGTGAATTGGCCATCATCATCAAACACTCCACAACCTGAACGCGCACGTTTATCGTACAATCGAAGAAGCATGAAATCGGCGTCGGGGATTGTTATCGTAAACTCCGAACCCTATTGTGACCCAAACTCTACGCCATGTCGGCGAAACTCTCTGAATAGATACCTCCTAGGTATAAGTGTGGATATGCCAACATTGCTGTTCATCATCGTCATATGCAAGGTCGATTGATAACAATATGCATCTCTTGAGAGCAAGTTCCTCTGGACAATGCGCCGCCATCATGGCATCAAGATCTCCAAATTGGGTGGCGAACGCCGGTAAGAAAGGGCGCGCTCCAACGCCGATGCTCTGCAGGCAGCATTCTACCCAAAACAACACATGATGCTCAACACTTCGTCACATCCACTGTGCGACTCATCATCGAAGCAACATGCTCCCGGCCTTCCACGATGAAAATTATCTCTCGCCATCACATCGCGTCTTTATCCGAAGGTCCTCTTCAAACTGTGGGTCCCGTGTCAGATATTTATTATTTGAGTCCTCTTCGATTACATCCTTGTAATGCTTAGCCGCCGCGCGGACGAAATCGACCAGCCACTCGCTCCTCGCTGGGGCACGCATCATGAAGTCTGGGCGGAGTTGAACGCCCACATACCTCGGGTGGCCCTTCAGCTCGAAGATGTCACCGTGCTTCCCCGTAGAATCCTTACCAACGAACTCGAGACATTTGGCTTCGAGCTTGGCTAGGTAATCGGGATTGACCTCACGGTGGCATGCAAACCGCTCAATGAAGAATGATTCGTCGCCGTAGACGGAGCGTACTTGCGGAGCCGAGCATTCCTTTTGGAGGACAACCGCTCGATCACCAAATTGGGATGTCCTGGATTTCGCAACCGGGTGTTTCCGAGTAGCCGGTAAGCGTTTCTTTATCGCCATGTCATCGTTCATGGACTCGGTGCGGGCTTGCCGAGGGCCTTCTGTACCGATGATGACCGATTCGAGACGCACCCCCGGGTCTCCGCCTTGGCCTGATTCGGGATTGATCAGGAAGCTCTCTGTATATTCCACAACCGCCGCATGCATCCCTGAGCATATTCCCAGGTAAAGGATCCCCATCGTTCTAGCCCACTTCGCCGCCACGACGGACCCTTCCATATCCTGCGACGAGATGCTGCAGCTTCCTGTGTAGTAACCGTCGGGGACCAGGATTCTATCGGCCTTCTTAAGATCGCGAGGGCTTCCTGGTGGCTCGCACTGCCCTCCTTTAGACCTGCGAGGCTGCTGGGACGAATCATGGTCAATTGAGCCATGCCGCAAATGTACCTGATGGCCGAATCCAGCATGCGCGTGTATCCGAAATGAGGGCCTGGGATACTCATGTATTGACCCCACGACTGGACTACATGTGAGAAGACATTTCCGGAATTATCCCAATCGCCGATCATCACAAGATCCATGTTACACTCCGGTCCCGACATCTCCGATCAATCACTCGATCCTTGAGACGAGTATGTCCTCCTACGGTTGCAGTACCGAATGGAATTTCGCGCATCTCCGTGTTGCGCACATCTGTGAATCTGGGCCATGAAGTCTCTGGAAAGCAGATCGGAATATGGGTTCCATCGGTTCCAAGATTGTCTTCTGTTACACCAGAATGAAGTATTCTCCAGCAGTGTTTCATTTCTGCCGCGCCGCACTCTATCTTGGTCAGGCGTATTACTGCAAATTAGGCGACACTCTAAGCCCCTCGATCGCTGCACCCGCTACACGCATTCTCCACATCTAGACAGCACGGCTTTGCTATATTTCCCTGATCGTCCTCACAGATACCGTCAGATTAGCGGCACACTTTCAAAACCTCATTTTATCGAGTTTCAAAGTGAACTTGCAAGTTTGCGTAAACCTTCATCATGGCAAATCCGATATTTCCGTCACGTTTCAATGCTACAACACCAATGCCAGCGGTCGAATCAGAGGCCATGTGCATAGTTCCTGGCGGGTAAACTTCTCCGCCCGTACAGCATCCATTCAATGGCCTACCATGCTAACATCATCATCAATCAAGTCGTCCCGGCATGACCACGTGCTGCGAGCGATTCGGCAACAGTACGGTGCAAGTCGTAGATGACTGCTGGACCTGGTACGACGTCTCCGTCCCGACCGTACACGATCCCAATTACCCGTTTTTCGACTGCATCAGATATATCGCGCCCGTCACCGGCTATAGTTGGATGGCTTGCCAGACTATGCATCCGTCGTGGGACAAAAACACTACTTGGACGACGGCTACTCCTTCACCCATATCAAGGCCGACCCCCTCCGCCATTCCGACTTCTTCGGCGACCCAAGCACCGGCACGGACAAACGCGGCAGCGCCCAAGAAGAGCATAAGCTTGATGATTGTCCTTGTCTCTACTATTCTCGTCGGAGGTCTTATGTCGTCGGGAGCTCTTTTCAACTCGTCCTGAGAATCGCCGAAGAACGAATTGGGATCACATCCGCGAGCCTTGGATGACTAGGCCAAAGCTGGATATTGCTGATTCATCAGAGGCATCCGCCTGCACGTTCCAGTATGGGTCCCGTTTGATGTCGAGCTCCTGCATCTTGGCCCTTCCCCGCCTTGACGGCTGTCCTCTCTCAAATCCTCATCAAGGTCTTATCGAGAACCTATCACCACTAGCGCTTCTCAAGAGGCCCTTGTTCCTCCTGGCTAGCGGAGCTCGTCAGCGCAGTGAAACAGACGTTAAGTTCGCGCATTGTGGTCTAGGCCTCCATCCTGGCCGCCTTTTCGATCGACAACCCGACCTTGTTCATGAAATCTGATACCAGTCGTATAGGCCCTCGGACGTCCGCATACCGTCTTCGGTCCTCACAAACCTTGTTTCAAAGCTTTCCAGCGATTGTGTGATGATCACCCGTCAACCTGATGTCCAGAAAGCTCTCATGTGTTCGCGTTCCGAGGCCGACTCGGGCGCTATCGTCGGGAATGAGGTGTTCACCGCGTGAGAAAATTGGAGCGTCTGCCTGCTCGGGTGCGAGCCGCGGATCCAACTTGACCATGGTTGCTTCCATGCGTCGATCATTCAAGATGCGGCCGATGCTTGCGCCTACAACACTTGATCGCCAATGTTTGAGGCGGGAGAATTACGATGCAGAGCAGCAGACACAAGGCTCCTCTTGTTGTTGTTTTCACCGGCCCTGGTAGATTGTCAGCCGTGTCTCATCTGGAGCCTCAGCTTTACGAATCATACCTCCGGAGATTAGGTTGTACCTCATCATGGCGAAACCATCTGAATCGGAAAACACAACGATCTTTTGCGCAGTAGCTGTGCCTGAGATGTGGATTTCACAGATTTTAGTACTGACGATAAATAAAGGAATTGGAATTTCCCGTCGAGACAACAATCTAAGCACAGCCTATCCATCTATGTACCACCACTCACCCGGTATGTTATTAATGACCATCTTGCGCCGGCGGCCACAGCTCGTGCGAGTCGGCACAAGCTGCAAGCTGAATATCCCAAGCGAGCATCCGCGAACTTCTTATCGCATGGTCTGAATGTGTTTATTCTGTTGTTCAGCTACTGCAAAAACGCCGGGCGGTCGTCATCCATGGCACGCGATTGAGTTTAAGCGCCGTAGATGTCTGGAATACCTGCTGGACCCCTGACTAGAAGTTGAACTGTTGAGAGAAGATGAATCTTGATTCACATGATTCCATTTATTCCCCTCCCCCCCCCCCCCAGTGCCTTCATTGTCGAGCATGTCTTCGACTTGCCATACCATTCTTCGTGTCTCTGAAGTGTAGCTCTACATGCGACCACCTGCGATGAGCGTAGTGCCGTGCCAAGCTGGAGCCCGACAAGTTGCGGCGGGAGGGTTTGGCCCCTGAAGATTTGGCCGTCGGAAGGACAGGTCGATGGAGGAGCCGAACTACTGCGCCCCAGCATCGCGACAGCACGGTGTCGACGTTCGCCCGTGACGAGCGCCACCTAGGACTTCCGGTGTCGCATGATATTTCCCATGTCCGCGGCATGAAGAGGCTACCTAGGTGCAAATTACATCAGAACCACATAGGTGGAAAGTTCAAATGTCGTATCGGAAACTTGAGCTGAAATGCGGCGCGGATACCTTCAATTTGATGGGCGGACCAATCAAATCCAGCCAGACCTGCAGCCCTTGAAAGTCAAGGCCGCCTAGAAAGCTTCAAATGAAACAAAGACCAACCAACTTCATTGTCGAGAACGTATCCATGAGCTGTTGAGCAATACATAAATTGTAGATTGTGCCTGCTCTGATCGTGAAAGTCACAATCGGCCTACGTCTGATTGATTTCTCCAATTCACAGAAAACCAACATTCATCGCTACCATGGCAAGCCCGGTTTTCTCCGCTTGCCAGAACTTGACCGATTGAAGTCCAGAACAAGAAACTCAGATCAATGTGCATTCTTATTGTTATATCCCGGGAGGGTATGTCTACCACGAAAGTCTACGAGTGCTGCGAACGTTGACCCGATTTCCAAGTCACTCCGACATGGCCACCTGTTGTAGCCGAGTGGGCAACAGTACCGTGCAAGTCTTCGATGATTGCTATACTTACTGCGAACTGCCCGAAGAGATCGTCAAGAGTGGAGATGAGCCATTCCAGCAATGTATCTATAGTTTTCATCACGGCCGCCCTGCGATCGGTTGCACATATAATCCTCCAAGGGATCCGGTAACTACCACCACCGCCGCCACCACCTCTTCGTCAGGACGGACCTCCTTGCCGACCACATCTACATCTGCTACGACTGGGTCCACCACAGCAAGATCCGCTGCGACTATATCTGCCTCGACTGCATCTGCGACGACTAAGCCAGCGACAAACACGTCCGGAACAGGCTCTGCCATACATACCTAGCGCAGGACAGAGCTTGAGTTTTAAAATGTTGCTCGTCTCTGCGCTTCTAGTTAGAGGTTTCATGTCATCGCGTACACTACTTTGTTGTAAACCGCGACACTAAGCATCTACAGGTGAAACGCGCATTGGTGACATAGTAAGGCTGAATTTCTCAAAGCGGGAATATTTCGCGATATTGCACGTCTTGGTAGTTCCTGGTGGCAATTCGGGTGGACCCGTGGGGGCTGAGCACTTCTATCTGAGGGAGATTCCTGTCCTTCCTTAGATCCTTTGTCGGTTGCCAGTCTACCAACTAATAATAAAGCTGATCAGCCAATCTCTTTACCGGATAGGCACGCATGCCTCCCCTAAAGCCCGATTATGTAGGGGCTACATTGCTGCGCCCGTCGGCATCGTGAAAGCACACATGCACAAAGTTTATTGATGATGAGTGACGTCATCGTATGATATATATGATGTCGCCTGTGACTTCTCTGATCATTGAGATACGTCCAAACCACGTCCGATTACCTTTGAAGTTTATCAAACATTCTTATCAGCTATCATCATGTCCATTCAAGGGTGTCAGAACTTGACCGCGATTGACCCAAGCGGAATCAATTCCAACTCTTTCTGCTATGTAGTGGGCGGTAGGTTTACTGCGGAAGTGCGCTTCTTTGCGATACTAATATGATCTCAAGGTACTCCTGGGCTAGATTCCTGCTGCAAACAATTGGGCAACAGTACCGTACAAGTGTCGGGTTGCAATGCCTGGTGTCAGCTTCCAAAGGAAATAACCCTGGGCGCATATGGCGGAAATGATGCGTTCGGCCAATGCGTTAAAAGCCTCCCGAACTACTCCTCCCCTGGGTTGGGTTGTCGCTACTCTGACTCGGAACCTACCACTACCACTTCCACCTCGTCTACACCGGCCCCCTCTTCGACTACAACTACATCTGCTACCAACACACCGGGAAAAGGCGCTGCAGTGCACGTACAGAGCATGAGTTTAACGACTGTTCTCGTCTCTGCGCTTCTCGTTGGGGGATTTGTGTCATCGGGTGCACTACTTGGTCTAGCTTGATGTATATGAGGCTGCCAGGAAGATAATCCACACACGAAACTCGTGTTTGCAAGGCTTGTTTGCTCACGCCGTAAATGCTTCGTAATCTCACATACAGGTAGTTCCCAGTAGTAGTTTGCAAAGACCCGGAGAGGCTTAGCATTAACATCTGCAGGTCTTTTCAGACCCTCTGTTGATCGTTAATCCGCCAACTAACCAGAAAGCTAATCCTGATGTCTGTGCCCGATGTTCATACCATCTTCCGCCAGCTTAACATTCTGTAGGGGCCAACGTTAGAGAACGGCGCTGCGCCCGTCAGCGACACGTCGGCGTGCATTAAGTACCTGTTACCAGCCCCAAGTGGGAGCGCCTTCCAGGATCATTCTTGTCAAAACCTTTTCAGCGATACGCGATTAAGCAATACATATGGTCGCCGTGCCTGCTCTAATGGTACAGATACAAACAAACCACATCTGATCAAATTCACCCACTACTGAACTTCATCTCAATCATTATTATGGAAAGCCCTACATTCCCACCACGTGTGAACAAGCTTGGCCCACTACCGCCTGCAGGTATTGATTCTACTTCTTATTGTCTGATATCCGAAGGTACGTGTCCCAGCGAAAACATGCGAGAGTCTCGCAGCAATTTTGACGTGATTGTTAGGGTGAGTCCACCTCAGAAGTGTGCGAACATTACTATTGACCTGAATGGATCTTAGTAAGTCATCCCGGCATGGGCACCTGCTGTCGCCAAAACGGCAACGATACCGTGCACGTTGCGGATAATCGCTACACCTGGTGCAGTGTCAGATTCAAAGCCAACGCAGTCGAAGATCCTGAGACTAATGATTCCTCCCTTGAATGTCTCGAGGGAATCGCGCCAGTCGTTAGTTCGTCCTGTGTGGGGAAAAATTAGGATCCACCACCACGTCCACCACTACGTCGTCGACATCAACTTACCCGCAGACCTCGGGCATAACGGCCACAGCGACAAAGACGCCGGGTCCGGAAACGGGCGCCGCGGTGCATGCTCCAGGACAAAGCGTAGGGCTGACAACTGTTCTTGTCACTGCGCTTCTCGTTGGAGGGATTATGTCATCCGGTGTACTTTTAGCTCAACATGAATAGCGACGCTAGTAGTAGCATCTACACGCAAGACTCGTGTTCCTAGGGCTTATTTACCCAAAGCGGAAACGTTACACGACAAGTTGTCTCCGATTTATCACTCCATAGAGCTCGTTGTTTGATTATCGCCCATTTCGCCAGCCAGGGAATGACGTCGCACGCATCAAGTGTGTGACTATTCCCATTGTCACAATCGTATTAACAACAAGGAGCCGAACTCAATATGTATATATATGGTCGTCTGTGCCTGCTCAGAATCGTGGGAATATAAACCTATCACATCTGATTGCTATTACCCTTTCCTAAAGCCTTAAACTTCATTTCGAATCTCCAACATGGCGAGCCCTGTGTTCCCAGAATGCCAAAGTAAGGTCACGCAACCGCAAATCAACTCGACCTCATACTGCATAATTTCTGGCGGTATGTGTATCTGCGAAATTACGCCAGAGTCCTTGTTGACCTGATCTCGAGGCCACCCCGGCATGGCTACCTGTTGCGGCCAATATGGCAACAGCCCCGTAAAAGTCGCAGACAATTGCTATACCTGGTGTGATGTCGCCTTCGAGTCAATTGGGGAGGGGGCCTTCTCGAAATGTCTTGAAGGCATCGCGCCCTTCAACGGGACAGGTACCGTGTCTTGCCAGGGCTCTCAGAGAAATAAGGGAACCCCCACCACCTCGTCACGACCAAACCCCTCGCCGACCACTTCTACCACAACCCCGCCGGACAAGGGCGCTGCAGTACACACCACTAGACAGAGTTTGGGTTTGACAAAGATTCTTGTCTCGGCGCTTCTCGTCGGAGGTCTTGTGTCTTCAGGTGCACTCCTTGGTCTGGCTTGAATGGCTGGGATGGCCTGGGCAGATTGAAAACGATTCGAGCGCGATGAAGGTCGCTCATCTGCACATTCTCTTGGGGGCTGACAAGACTCTGTAATTATTGGGCAATAGAGTCTATAAGAGAGCATCACCGTGAGCATGTCAAATAATGTATTGTGCATTGCAGTTTCTACCTCGCTGTTGTTGTGAATCATACCTAGCTCGCTCACATTGCCACAGCCTCGCCAGCAGGGAAAATGACAGTGAATTGCTATGCGCTACTTCCGCGTTCGAGCGGGCAGAGCGGGTCACTCCTGTGAATCCTCATCAACAGGAGATGATGCTTTGGCAAGACTCAAGACACTATCAACAGCATCTTCTTCATAGCCGCCTGAGAGATCTCTCTGGTTTGCTGTACCGCTCTCGAAGGCAATACGCCGCTCATCACGTCTTTTCTTGTAATCTTCTCTCCTCTTCTGATCATGCTCAAATACCGCTTGTACAAACCCGAAGAAGAAAGGATTGGCTTTCATGACTGCTGTTGAATACTCAGGGCTGAAATTCACACCGACATACCAAGGATGGTGTCTGTACTTGAAAGCATCGATAAGGTCGCCACCCTTGTCTTGAACGATGAATTCGAATCCAGCTCTACGCATAAACAGGGCAAATTTGATATCGATTACCCATATTTCAGGGCAGAAGCGTTCTCGAACAACTGGTACGTCTCCATAGATCTCGTGAAATGGTTCGCTCATGCTGCCCGTGCTCGAACTTCGGTGGATCTCTTCACCGCCACCTGTCGTCGATTCGCGACTGAAAGGATATTCCGGGGACGGCCATGTGATCGAGGTAGTATCAATGTTTTTTGCAATCTCGGCGACTGCAGCGTACATTCCAATCCCTATGCTCGGACATGGCACATTGTTCGTTCGGGCCCATTCGGCGACCGCGATCCTCCCCTCTGCTCCCGGTCCGTGCATTGGGTAGGATTCATCAATTTCGGCAAGGATGATTCCACTAGCTTCTTTGACATCCTTCCAGGCTTGCTCGTACCGCGTGGAGCTGAGAGCCGTAGAGTAATCCAAATCATCAGGATCCACAATGGAAAGTCTAGAAATAAGCGGGAATCCTCTCGAAGCATCCCCCAGAGCCTGGATGATAGCCGTATAAGGGCTCGTGACGCTCTTGATCCAATCTTCTGGCCTGAAAGGACCCTTTGGTCCTGCCGTCTGTCCCATCAAGACAAAGTTCCCGATGCCGGTGCGGAGGCGGTAGCCGAGCGCGTTCTCAACCTACTGCACCCACATATCGCGTCCAGCTATGCGCTGGTCTTCGGTGACTGGGACGGGGTCAAGGGCAAGGTAGTTCCTTATTAATGGCCCCACCTTTCCCGCTTTCGAGCCGTTGTAGACGCTCCATGCTCCCTGTCCGTTGAGAATGACGGGAAGGCTGATGGTGTCAATATCACATGAAACGCTTGTGATGTTTGAGGCACCGACCGAGAAGTGCCGCATCAATCGAAAGGAAGAGGACTTATATGGGGGTGACTGGTGATGCCTGTTGGTGTTAGGTTTCCAGCGACATATGACCTGCAGAAACCATGAGTGCTGTTCACATCCAATGGGAATTGCTGCACATACCATGTCTGCAGCATATTTATGCAGTCGTACAGTTCGCAGCTCTTCTACAGGAAAATCGCATGATGAATGATCGTACTTCATGGGAACGATAAGGACTCTCATGAAATTGCGATTCTCAACCTTGGCGCTTAACTTCCGCAGCGCTATTCGGAAGGGCTCCATGGCGGCATCATCCGATGGACCTTCTACGTCGATGACACAGACATCGGGCGCACGTCTCGTTGCATCAACCTTGATCTGGGCGGCCGCCTCAATCGATTGCACTACAGCGTTTGTGAAATGGGAGTTCATTCGTATCACTTCGCTGCCGTATTTGCCGTCTCGCTCATTCCCGCTAAGCTTTTCCATGGTTTTCGAAGTCGTGATATTATGATCTTCGGTTAAGGGGATGTCCAGATAACGCTCGTAAGTATTGAATTCCATACCGACTCGTCCACCATTGTCCAACAGGAAATCTTCTCCACGTTCCGAGCGTGACAGAGCACTCGAATTGGCATTGAGGTATGAATCGATCCTGATCATCGTGACGCTCAAGCCCATGCTCTTCAAGACAACTCCAAGGCTCGCGGCTGTTGGCAGTCAGAAATTTCATGCTCTTGATTGGCACCTTGCGAAAAGCATACCATATAAGCCTTTCCCGCTCGCGCTCTCGGGGCTTCCGGAGGTCTTGAGCCACGCGGCGACTGTCTCTGTACGGGAGAGGCTCGCCGGGCGAGACAACATTGTACTTCATTCTGATGTGATGTGATGTGATAACGTCATGTTGCTTGTGTTTCCCGGCTTTGCTAATTCTAAAACACGCGATGAAAGTTCTCAAGAAGATGGGGGAGGGAGGTGTCTTCTCTCATCGATGTCCAGGCCAGCGTGGTCTCTTGATATGAGATATCATGCCAGCATTCTGAAGAGAGAATACGATGATTGTTGATACTCGACATTCCTTATCGCATTCCGCGCCTGCGGCTACATTCTGCTTCATACGGTCGCGGTCGAATACAGGCGCTGGCGCGATCCTGTGACCTCGGGACGAGCAAATCCTAATTTGACGAGGCGTGTGAATCCGCCGTGCGATGAGAGCACATCCTGTGCTCCTTGAGTTGTATGAAAGATGCTGAGCAGTACCTCGATGGAATTCATGCTATACCTTGCCAAAGTACTGCAACACAAGTTCGTGACAGTCCGTGAGCGCAAACTGCTTCTAGATATTCCTCCGGATGGACATCGAAGATACGAGCATTGTATCTTCGTGATAGCTGGCGGACTTCATCGTGAATGACGCGAGCTCTGATGGCATGCAAAGCTGAGATGCTGTCATCGGGTAAGCCACAGGGGCAAGTCCGTACGGAACGAGAGAATTAAGCGTCGGCTCCATTCCTTGGGCTCTTCCCCAGCATGGTCAAGTCGCGACCGGAGGCATCTCAGACGTTCTGTGCATAGCGATGCGACCAGTCTCGATGGCATCGATTCCCGCGGAATAGACGTGTTTCCGGGCGGCACAAGCTTGGAGTTTGGTTTGACGACGTCCGTCCCGATGTGGCCTGGCCGATCATCAATTTGGCGGGGATGGGTGACGTGCGCGGGTGGCTGAGCACTTGGCACATTTTTTACATGCCCGCCCAGGAGAGATAAGCGCTCGCGCAACGACATTTTCGCGACCATGCGAAAAGTTGAGAACGTCACTTTATGTCCCTGTGTTGATCCAGTATCATCATATCACACATAAAGGTGCGGATACTACAGGGAAAGATGTGCTGTCGATCTATTGGGCGCAGTGCATGCGTCGTTCCGCACTCCAAGTCACATCACGGATGAAGCAGCCAACGACGGCCTCTGTTGCCTGTCGATCCCAACAATCGCCAAGACGTTTTCGACTAGTATTGTGCCGGTCCAGGTAGAAACAGCCTGCACTGCCCCGAAACCACACAGAATTTGCCGATAAGGCAGGCCTAGTAGTGTTGACGCGCCTCGTAGTCAGCAAATGTCGCGGAACAAGCATCTGTTAGCTACTGCACGAAACAATCGCACGGACGTGGGAGGATCCATCTCGCAGCACAGGCACGAGACGCTGTACCTGGGTGGATCAACCGACACAGCTGTTTACTGAGCCACTCGTCGTTGGTGGGTTGAGGCTAATGCAATGTCCTTCGGAGCCCAGTGTAGGGTCGTACCATGCCGCCATTGGTTCTTCCTGTCCCGCACTTGACGGTCAAGCAACCCGCCGAGAGGGATCCCAATACGAACATAAAGAGCTTGATCTTTTACATTGCTCTGCTCTCTCTTTATTTCTCAAACAGCTACTCGATCATTCAATTGCACCAGTTCTTTTCTGTTCTCAAGATCCGTTCGTACTCGAACCTCGCCTTCCAAACAATCTAGCAAGTCGCCTTCACAATCCCCCCAAGAGACAGAAGACCGAACTACCACCGGTTGTTCGATCATAGTGTCGCAACTGCAGACTGCACCACCACAAGAATTAATTGACGCCAACCGCCTATTCACGCCAAACTTTCAGATTTCACTCGTCATGGCTCCCAACCTTGATATCATCATGCAAGAAACCCGCAACGTGATCCGAGACGCCACTTCCACTACCCCGACAGCTAGTCCATCCGCCACAGCAGCGATTTACCAAGGAGGAATCTTCGGCCCTGGTTATGCGGGAACTCTCATCGGAGCAATCGTGGGCGGAGTAGTCGGAGGCCTCGCTCTCATCGCGATTATCGTCTGGATCATCATCTGGAGACGCCGCAAGGCCGCCGCTCGCCCACCAACCAAGGTTTAATGCCTGAGAAGTATTCTCGGTATCTTCCACGTCCTGAAGAGCTTGTTCCTACCGACACTACAAAACAGTCCACGCTGTGCTACTCATACTGGAATGAGATCATGCATCCAATGATGCCACGACGTCGAACCTCTTTTACACATACTTATTTTAATGTTTAATAATACGTAATCAATAATACAACTTCTTCTTCGACACTTGATTGTCTCTGTTCTTGCGCATGAATGTACAATTCTCTGTAGTCCCGATGCCTTCGATTGCGCTGATGGTTACAGCTCACCGAAAGATAGTCAAGAAAGCTGCGTGGGAGGAACCTCATTCTTATGTTTGCGCCCGAAGTGGAAGGCAATACCTTTGGTCTACTTAGGTACCCAAAGGTCATTTGTTTTATGTGGATATACTCACGGCATCTCGTACCGTAGCTGTGTTATCTATAAGCATGTATCGTGTACCCTTGTGTCATCGAGATCGTGACATCGAACCTAATGTCGGCCTCTAGTAAGCTCGGCCTTTGTTGTAGAGATCCACTGACCAAATAGCAGTGCCACCAAAGCAGTTCTGAGTCGCCCAATTGCGCTTCAAAGGGAGGGTCTTCTCGTCATCGTAAGCGATCCAATTGTTGTCCCATGTGATCGTCTGCACCATGGCGTCGGAGTTGTAGGTCGGAGTCAAACCACGGGACTGAATCAGGCTCTTGATGTCCGCGAGTGTCAACACCCCGTCAGTGCCAGACGAGCATCCATATGCGGAGATCTTGGCGGTACCGGCGCAGCTGTTATCCAAGGTGTTGCAGTTCTTGTTTCCAAGTGTAAAACCCCGACCGTAGTACGCCAGTCCGAGATTGACCTTCGACATGTCAATGTTGTTTGCGAAGAGATTTCTGGTCAGGGCCGTAATATCTCGGATGTCGGTGTGAGCCTTGAGCACGGTGGAACCGTAGTTCATGTCATATGCCATCAAATTGAACCAATCAAGAAAAGGTCGCATGCCGTAAGCGTCAGTGTACCTCATATCTCCATAGTCAGGAGCCAGAGCGAAGCTGATACCGAGCTGGTAACCGAATGCCGCGCGCATCTCTTTGATCAGAGCGACGAGGTTCGCGGTATCAGACGGGCCAGGAAATTCCCAGTCTGATCTGCAAGTCAGGATATGATTCGTGTGTCATGAGCCGATCGACTCACCGATATCCGCGCCTTGAAACCCATATTTGATCATGAACGACTTCAAGGAGTTGATGAACGTGCGGCGCGATTCGCTACTAGATGCCATGCTGGTCCAGGCTGAAGTCGAAAACCCGCCACCACCAATAGACACCCACGTCTGCACGGTGGAATTCAAAGCCGTGAACTGCTTGTACAAACTCGGCGAGTCCTCTTGGACCGTGAAAGTGTTGGCGTCAAACTATGTCATCGTAAGCATGAGTCAATCGCAAAATGTCGTCTTACATTACCTTGACGAAGGCGTAATTGAGATGAGTCAATCCATTCGTGTTGATCGTTGGCGGAGTGCTCGAGCACCCACTTCCTCCCTGTACACTCGCTGCTTGCCAATACCCGACGGTCCGCTTATACGCAGCCCCGCTCAAGCCGTTACAGTTCGGTACGAAGATCTGTCCACAGTTGCCGTATGCTGATTGACATCCGCTGCCGCAGTGCGCAGAGGTGGTCTTGCGATAATTAGCCGACGGGCTCTATCAGTCGACACAAGTGCAACCTACTCCGCAATAGCCTGCAGACGAACAGCAATTGCCCATACCGCAGACCTGACCCCCAGAGCCAGCATTGCCTGGTCCGCACTGGGCTATAGACTTCGCCGTCAGTGATAATCTTCGTTGTGAGCTCGGAAAATACTCGTACAGGCATCGCGTTTAAAGACTTCAGGTATAGAGATCACTGCTGAAGTAAGTCAGGGTATTGTCTCCAGATCGTAGCTTTCAGAACGAACCATTGGCATAGGCCACCGAGCCGGCTGCGAAAATAGCGATATAGTACGAGACGTGCATCGTGATCGCCGTTAGTCGATTGGGGGGATCAGACAGATCAAAGAACCTCAGATTGCTCCGTCTCGAGCAGATTGATCTACTATATCAATGCCGGGTCAAATTGAAAGGCTTGCGTTACAGCATGCACAGCCATCGACTAGTTGATCCTGCGAACGTGGGCCTCGCATGGTGCATAGACACGTAGAGCCAGTGGGTAAGGGTAGCGATCCAGTCCATCTCGCACATGCAGGGCTAATAAGATCGATCCTTCGTCTCTTCTAGCGCATTTATGTGGCGAGTTTATAAGAAAATCTGCGATGACGATGTTACTGTTGAAGGGCCCTCTCACGAAGACATGTAACGAGGGCATCACTATATTGCAGTATCAGGCCATCAATGTAGAAGTCAAGCGAGATTCGCCGCCACGCTACCATCTCCGTTCATCGCATAAATGGTTGGGCGGCCATGAGCGAGTCCTTCCACCGACACGTCGAAGCATGTTGGAGTCGAGCTGACGACGAGACCATGCCCTTGATAAGACGTGGGAAGGCGCATTGTCTGGAGTTACACCGCAATGCGTCTTGGGCGCAAGAGGCTGTTCGCCTGGCGGAACGCCCACGTGCGTACGTTGTCGATGCCTGTGGATCAGGGCGGTCAGAGAAGGACAGGTCGGGAGACGCAGGGTCTGATGCCCCACTTGGTCGTGATTTGTCCGACACTTCGGCCCCAATGAAGGTCCTGTCCTTCAGGCCCAATCTTTCTCGCGAACTTGCCATGATGATTAGAAGCTCATTCTTGTACGAAGTGAGAAAGATCCAATCGGCGAAACACGGCACGTAAGCGATCATATGCGGAGATGGACACTTGTAGGACATTGAGAGACATAGGGCTTAGGGTTACTTTCGAATTTTCCCAATGGGCTGAGACGAGCAGCGATTCGCCACTCCCTGAAGCCTCACCGGCGTCGCAGCTTTTTTGACGAGGCCGTTTCATTAGTCTACATTTGCATAATATCATTGCGGAGACCTGGACTGGAATCAATCTCTATAAAGCTTTTCGGCCGAGGCTCGATGTTGAGCACACGATGTAACAGGTTGTAGAGAGCCTATCAATGCCGTAGCTGTAGGCGTTACCAGCGATGGATGTCATTCCTGCAATCATGCAATACAGACCAAAAGTTCACCGTGAAGAAGATCCGATCCTCGCCTGAACATGGGTAGATCCGAACACAGACTGCAGTGTACCTTTTAGAGATCCGAAGGGTGAGGTTAATTAAATGAGCCCTTTGGATGTCGTGAGACCGGAAAAACACGAAAATTGCCCGCTTTATACTAGTTCACCTCCTCGCGACAAACGTGATTACTAGGAGTGGTTGGGACGTCGCGTAACTGAGCAAGCCGAGCAAAAGATAGCGAATGTTGTGTCAGGGGATGAAAGAAATGCCGTGAACGATGCTAAAACCTACATAATGCTGCGGTGTACCCTCACGTCATACTAGCTACCGCATGTGGAGAATCATTCGGATGTCCCACACGCGCCATCGGGATATGTAGCTAAACATTGATCGAAATGGTAGTGAGCGCCATAACAACAATGTGATGGATGTAAGGAACTGTATTGCATAGTTAGTAATTTATGATCCTTGAGCGTGCTCCACAGTTGAAATGGCAACAGAGGGGTAAATCGAACATACCGACTTATGTGTACGTTGCTTGCTAGGTGAAGGCGTCGCACCCATTTCTCCAATGTTAGAGACCCGAGCTGGTTGCGTAAATCCAGTGTGCGAGGACGTCACTTCTTCCAACGTGTAGCATGCTCCTTGAAAATGCGGACCGGCAGAAGTCCATTGCCCCCTATGCGTTTCCACCTCTATGGCTTGAAGCGCAAGCTTTGATTTTGTCAGGTAGAGTAAAGGGTGGTCTTTGATCTCCACAATACAGCCATGCCATGGCGTGGGCACATGGAGCAAGTCGACGGACGTGACGAGTTCTCCGCACGGGTCGAGCTTGTTTGTCGTCCGAACGCCAGGTCCGAGCAGTTGTATCGCAAATTTGGGGCCTGAATTGTCATGCCTACATGGAGATCAGCTTTGATTCTAATCCGCGGAAACGAGAGGGCAGTGCTAACGCATGAATTGAAAGTCGAATGTGATGTGGTAACATTGCCTCGACGAGGTTAGAATACGCCTGATTTCGCTGTTCCTTTTATGTCAGCAGGTACACACGGGTAGAATGCGAGGACCAGCGCTTACATTGATCATTTCGAAAGCAACCTTCGAGGAGAGTTTCCGCCGTTGCGATCTGCTTGTGGTTGAAGCTAAAAGACGGTCAAGATCTTCCAGCATGAATTTGGTGAACCCCCGGTAGAGGGCTAGTACAGACGGGTCTTGTCCGGAGATCTGTAAGCGGAGAACGGCTGGATCAGGTCCAAACCCATCAATAAGAATCTGTCGCGAAAGCTCTGCTTCATCATGGAGCTTAGTATCGAGGAAGTGAGCAACCGAAGAAAAGTTTCCTGTCCTTAGTTGTTGTCGCATAGTAGCATCGTTGAGGTGAAGCAAGTCCGGGAGTGATCGGAACCGGATTGGTTCGACGTCAGGATGATCGCCAGCTATATTCGAGTTCATGGTTTGTAATGTGGCGCTGTAGCGATCTACGGTGCTATCATCGACTCCGACTGACGGTCGTATTAGTAGGAAACCATGAGTTCATTGGATGGAATTCTCTTACTACAATCACTGAACACGTGGCCATCACTGATGATCCACATGATAGCGCCGGGGGCATAAATGGCTTTGACCTTGCCCAAGAATCGGTACAGATTGTCAAGCGCGATGTACTCGCCACGGTCAGGAAGGACACCACCAACTTTGTCGAGGTTTGAAGATTTGCATGGGAATGCAGGAACGCACAATTCGACAGGTGTATCCCAAGAGGTGTAGAAAGCCACTCGCTGTAGAAAGTTCGCACGACCTACGGACAGCCACTTGTCACTGGTCGAGTTGTACCGTAGCGCAGTGTCAAAGGCATCGGTAATCTTTTGGGCTGCCTCAAAGTTGTCATCTGCCACACCAGGGGCCGAGCTGTGAATCAGATCATTCTTTGCTGAGTCAAGGGTGATTCCAGCGTGAATAGTGTCGTTGATCGAGGAAGCACCCGGGCTGGTGGCAGCTATCAGTCCAACAATGCAGGCGCCCGAGACATGTAAGATTTCGTGCAAAACTAGGTCCTCTTCAAATGGTGTACTATAATCCTGGATAGTGCTCGATTGTATATAGCATGATACCAATTTCCGCGAGCTCAAAGATCTTGTAGGCAAGTGTGCCAGTACTCCAGGCCAACAGTTGGTGAGCTTCTGCGCGGCTTGTCCGGTGCAGCTCAGTAAGCGACCGTCCAGTCCTCTGATATAGTTGGCGCGAATTCTTTCAAAGAAGTTTTGGCTGCGGTTAGCCATGCTGTTTCAGGCTAGTTGTAGTGGATGGATACAATAGAGAAAAGAGCCGACTTGCTGGACTATACGCCTGCGGATAAGGCAGAGATGACTGGAAGGCTTTTCAAACGAGTTGGACTGAATGCAAGTCTGGCTCTCGGGGATCGTTGCAGGCCCCGACGTGACCATGCAATTATATAAGGACAATCAGAAGACCCGTTGTAATGGGCCAGCTGGAAAATACATTTCCCGTCAGGAGAACGATCCTGATCCTGCGACCCCATCCCGAACGCACCCAGGAATGAATTCTCACAGTGAAGCGGACGATGGCGAGAGAGGCTCGGCATTATCATGTATAGAGTCACTTCGCCGCTACACAATTATGGAATTATTCCTATGATGACGCGTTGCGCCAGGAGGAGATGGCATCCGTCGGAGCTTTGGAGGTCCCACGCTTTTTTGCGGCACGATTATGCACCGATGCTCGCGCATGGTTGTCTGCCAAGCTAGAGCTCGCTAAAAGGTAACATTTTCACCCGTGCATTCTAAGCGAAATGCGGATCGTGCTCACGCTCCATCGATGTGGCGCAAAACCTGCTCAATTTCATGCATGAACTGAACTCTGTTGGCGCCTCGCTGATCGCACGCGGAGATAGCGAACAGACTGGGTAAAGTCATTCGCTTTCGCCGATGTGGCCCAATGCGAACTTTCAAGAATGTAGACTTTGGCGAGGTCGTGCTGCGGAAATATTCATCAAAAGGAAATGCGACAGACCGCATCTCAGCCAGTGATCAAGTTTTTGTGTTGACCAACTCAGTACTCGCAAGAGGCACTCGCGATGGCTTCTGCGGCAGGCGTGCAATCCTCAGAGGTCAAGACTCCAAGCCCTCTCATGACAGATCTCAAATCGGTTGAACAGAGAAGCATCATTAAACCACCATACAGCGCGTTGTCACTCGGCCGACGACGATTAATCCTCACAACAATAACTGTTGCTGGCCTACTAGGACCTTTGGCAGGCAACATCTACCTTCCCGCACTGCCGGTCCTTCAAAATGCCTTCGGAGTCGGCGAAACAGCTATCAATGCTACCGTGACGGCTTTCATGGTCGTCTTCGCATTTGCGGTACGTTCCTGACGGCACGCTGCATGTTTGCATTCCACTCCGAGGAGGCTGACTCACCCCTCGCGCTCAACACAAATTACTGAACCTCTCGCAGCCTTTGATCTGGGCCAGCTATGCAGATGTCGGTGGTCGACGACCATTGTATATCTTGTCGCTTGCTATTTTCATCGTAGCAAATACTTTAATCGCCGCAGTACCTGCCAGGTTTGGAGCCCTCGTTGTCTTGCGCCTCGTGCAAGCTTTCGGGTCGGCTGCTGTGGTGTCGATGGGTGCGGGCACGGTCGCCGATGTACGTTCTGGAATATCATGGTGCCGTGATCTTTCTTGCTGATTGTTCGCAGGTGACAGAGCCGAAACATCGCGGGAAGGTCATGTCGTACTTCCTCCTCGGCCCACAGCTTGGTCCTGTCGTGGGCCCCGTTTTGGGCGGAGCTCTTGGCGGAGAAGCTTCATGGAGATGGATATTTGGATTCCTTGGTCAGTACTCGCTATCGACTAGCGAAACCCGAGACACTGACAACGCAAGCAACGTCCAGCCCTTTTCGGCTTCGCAATATGGCTCATGATTGTTTTCATGCTACCGGAAACACTTCGCTATCGTATGGGCAATTGCCAAAGATTCTCAGAGACATCTTGGATACTTCTTCCGCCTCGATTTTCATACACGCCGGTAGATGAAAAGCAACGAGGTCCTGCACCACCAAAACCGTCAATCAAGGGCTACTGGATGCTTTTCTCATACCCTCCGATCGGGATCGTGTCAATTAACACTGCAATGCTTTACTCGACCTACTTTTGCATCGCCGTTCAGCTACCTACCACGCTTACCAAGGTTTATCACTGGAGTATACCCGCAGTGGGTGCAGCGTACCTGGCTATCGGAATTGCGATGATTGCTGGATCCATTATCGGTGGGCACGCAAATGACTGGCGCCGCGCGACACTCCTGAAACTTTCCGCAGATGACAAGGTAGAGCCGGAAAGCCGTTTGGTTGATCAGATATGGGGTGTCCTCGTCTGTGTGGCAGGCACACTTCTGTACGGCTGGTTTGCTGATCGTGCCATTCATCCTGCCGGCTTGCTTGTCGCCACCTTCCTTGGTAAGCCTGCCTGACTTATTTGGGTATAAGCACGCTAACGACTCACATAGCTGGGTTTGGAATGAGTTGGATCTTCGTGTCAACCACTGCATTTTTATCCGAGTGTGTCCCGCAACAAGCGGCTGGAGCTTTTGCATTGGGGAATATGCTGCGAAGCCCCGCGGCGGGAGTAGCAGCAGTACTCGTACCTGTTCTAGTCTCATCGATGGGGATAGGCTGGTTCTTTACCGGGTGGGCTATCTTCGACCTGATCGTCGTCGGTGGAGCCGTGATCGGTAAGTGGCTACGGTCACACATTCTAAAATTCATCTGACGGCTGAGCTACAGTTTTGAACATTTTCGGTCCGCGATGGCGAAAAGAAAGGAACGAGAAGGCGAGACTAAGGGCGTCTGTTCAGAATGCTACAAAGTAAAGCATACCGACCGCAATTTTCTCTGACGCGACAGCGGAAATTTGAGCCACCAACCGACGTAAACCAGTCACAGCACTCGGGTTGAGACCTGTGGAAATCGCTGTTACATAAAGAATATTTCGCCTCGTGCGCATGGTCAAAACTTCGTCTTTGTTTGATGACCATTGCCCCCGATTGTAGGGTCCGCGGGGCCAATCGACGATGATTAGTTTCGTGAATTGCTGTCAACCGGCGCAGAAGCGCAGGGCAAATCGCGGCCGGTCAGGCGCCCGAGGAGGCGGCACGCACGGGATATGGCGTCCACCAACAGACACAAATTGGGCGCAAACTTGCTCCGTCAATCCTTTCCAAAGTTATAATTAATTCTTGGCGTCTCCACTACTTTTGGTTACTCTGTGGACGCGCAATGTGAGCGAAATGGTTTGTAGCCTATTATGGGGAGGGCTCGCTTGTACAAAACTCATCTCCATCTTCTGTAGACGCAGCGCATTCGGGCGAACTCCGGCCAACCACATTCTTGGTCACGCAATTGGAGTCGTTCGCTAATCATCATGAGTCATCCAGCGCGGGCGCAGCGCTAACGAGATTTACATTTTGGGCTCGGGGCAGCCTACTAGAGTTCGAAAAGATCCCGACGATAGGCAGGACCCTGCATGCGATCTGTTGGATTGACGTGGGATGACACAGCCAATCACTTGTGCCTATTCTAGAAACCAACGTGTTCTATACACAAGGCGGATCTAATGCTGCAGGCGTTTGAGCAAGTTTGCGCGGATTTAGGATCTCCATGGCGTCGGATTACTACACAACAATGTCATTTTGTGCCACGCTCCTTGGTCCTGCAACTACGGATCTCGCGACAGCACGTGGAACTCACGTGTGACTCCACCAGGGCCTCCATGCCTCTGCATTAAAACAATCGATCTCGCAGCTCCTGTAAAGCATTTTCGTGGTCAAATCACGTTGCGGTAAGGCACGATGAGCCAACCAACCTCTGAGCTGCCGCGTCTTGCGCTCAAGGACGAGACAGTCACCTCTGTACACTCTGACTCCGATCCCGAACAAAATACCAGCCAGAGCGAGATCGAGGAGGGCGAGCAAGTACTCAGCACACGCAAGGCCTTGTGGGCATGGATCATTTTATGCTTCTCGGTGAGCTCAAGCTGACACGCGACGAATCACTGTCCCTGCTAATATCAGCGTCCTGGTTTCAGACTGGTCCGACGAATGGCATGGTCAATCAATACGTAACAGCGAGCATTCAAGCCGCTGCGAACGCTGTTGGACGAGTGCCAGGCACCGATAAACCTTGCGCCACGCGCGGCAACATTCAATGCGTTGTGAAGTTCGGCGGGACTGATATCGATTATCTCAGCTACCTGTGAGTGTGTGAGGTTTACCGTTTTCTGCCCCGCGTTCTAACAATCGCCAATCAGTCTTTATTTGCGGGCTATCAGTCGCGCCGTGGAAGGAGTCGTCTCGATCTTCACCGCGGGCCTCGCAGACTTCTCCGGTTACCGCAAAACAATGATGATGCTCTCAATTTACCTATTTGGCGCAGTAGCCCTCCCTTTTGCTGGACTCACGACCAAGTCATATCCATATTTGAACGCGCTCTCCACACTCTACGTCATCATCAATGCTGTCAGCGGGCTCTACACCGTGACTGAAGCTTCATACATCCCGATATTCATGCGTACGGCAGGTCTGGAGCGTGAACGACAGCGTCTCGATGACGCCCCTCGTCCCAGCGCATCTCTGCTCAAAGGCAGCAAAGTTAGTGTCCTTGGGCTGGTTGCAGGGAATGTTGGCGCACTGGTCGCTCTGCTCATTGGTGTCATCATCACCTATACTCGTGGGAACTTCGTGCAGGCTGGATATTTCAAGTCGGTATACCCGCCAAGCGGATGGAAAAACGTTGACTGATTTGACTTAGCTTCCTTTTGGCAATCACGATTGGAGGATGCCTGACAAGTATGTCCTTGGCGCGCCCTCCATGGTTTTGATATACTGACAATTCGTAGTACTGTTTGGCGCCGTGGGCCATTACATGCTTCCAAGCATACCAGGTCGGAAGCGCCCGGATGGCGTCAATCTTCTCCTACTACCGTGCATCATGTGTAAGTTTTATTCATAAGTTTCATTTGTCTATGCATTCGTTTCACTTCCAACACTAACAATCTCAGGGTACAAAATGTTCCGATCACTCCTTCAATACCCCGAAGCATTCAAGCTGTGCATCGGCTGGGTGCTTTGGAATACTGGCTACAGCAACTTCCTACAGCTTCTCGGCGCATTGTTCTTCGAATCGACAGGTCTTGATCGCGGAAGCGGTACATACACAGTGTACTCCTTCATGCTGGTAGTCTTCGCTTGCGTGGGCTCACTCAGCTGGCTCTTCGCCTTTCCCTACACCCGTCTGCATATCAAGACCTGGGCATACTGCTTCCTAGTCGTCAACATCATTTGTGTCTTCTGGGGATGCCTAGGCATCAGCAAGAACGTTCCGATTGGATACAAGTACCAGGCCGAGTTCTGGGTGGCCATCTTCTTGTTCATGAGCACGAGCAGCGCCCTCCGCTCGCTTAACCGCGTCATGTTCGCCTCGATCATCCCTCGAGGCTCGGAGGCGCTATTCTTCGGGCTGGAGATTACGTTGGATCTTGCGACCGGCTGGGTCAATCCGTTGGTCCAGGCGGTGATCCAGAACAGGACAGGCAACTTGCGATACCCTATGTTGCCAAATCTCTTCGTAATGCTTGTCGCATTAGGTCTGTATCTTCTTTGCAATGTCGACAAGGGAATGGAAGATGCGAGAAAGCCACTTCACCTGAAGTTTGCTTGGGACGTGGAGGAGCCCACACGGCGAGAGGAGCCGAGCGTGCGATCGTAGACTTCGAATACGAAACGTTGCTTTGTTGCCTTGAAGACAGTCAATCTCCATTTTCTTATCTTATTCTAAAATGAGACTACTAATGAGGTCCGAATTTGAAGACCTCTGAATATTTAGGTGTATGTAAAGTCGTCCAAACGTTCAGAATCCCTTGCGCCTGACTAATTCACGGCTGTGTCCCATTAGCTCGAGCTGACCTGCTGATCAAGTTACCTCGCTCTATCTCCGCTCCGGGACCTCGCCAAACTTGCCTGACTCCCGGAGTCTGCGGCCTAGCTGACGGTCGCCTAGCTCAGCTGTGTCCTCTACCGCATTTTCGAGCGATTCTTCGTGGACGTGTGTATCGACCAGGTCAAACTGTCCGTCAGGTGCGAATCCACAGCTTCTTGTTGCGGCCCTGCACGTCCGACCGACCGCTCCTGATCAAGCTCCGAAAGCCGACCTACTGGCGATATCAGGGAGTCTGGAAGGGTCTGCTCTGCTTCATCGTCCGAACTGCCGCTAAATGATGCGCGGTTCAGCTCCGGCACTAGCTTACTACAAGGCAGCGGATCACCCTCAAAGAGTGTCTTCTCGCAATGCCGCGATGTCAGAGAGAGTGGCTTCCCGAGCCAGCGGTGCTATGAGGCGACGCCGCCCTAAAGGAAAGATTCCTCGAGCTCCGGATCTGCCTCTTGCTCCAGGATTTCCGGGGCGACCGTTTGCAGAGCGTGGTGGTTGTCAGCTAATCGGCAGTGCTCGAGATTGACAATGCAAAAGCGACCCTCCAGGCGACGTGCGACTATACGCTGCTCTCTGATCTTATCAAGATCGCAAATATGTTCAACTCCCGCGAGGCTGCCTCTACCTCACTCCTGAGACCCCGTCAGAGCTTAGCTGGGCGTGGCCGGCTCTAACTATTTACATAGAAGGTCCGCGATTCAATCACCTCACTGAGGACGATTGGCTGGGTTAACAACGTTCAGACGGTCTCGCACGAGGATACTTGTGACCTTCGCATCGCAGGCCTCTGCAAGCTCTCGGCAAAAAAGGACGGGCCGTGTCAAGCACTGCTGCAGGGCCTTCTCCTCGACCCTTCGCTTGAATAGCGGGAAGTTATGGGCGTGGAGTTCAACAAATACCACCTTGTCGACAACGCAGCAGAGAACGCGAAAGGCTAGGGCTTCCTCAAGCACTCCGATAACCTGAAAGGAACCTTTCTGGATCGTGAAAAGGAGTTACCCCAACGCGTCCTCATGTAGGCCTAGCTCTAGGAGAAATCCTACTACCGAGAGAAGACCGGCGAAGCCATGTGCTAGCTGAAGACCGTTCGCGCGAAAGCATCTCGCATGGAGCGGGTTCAAGCGGGACTGTGGACTCGAGGAATCAGAGCTCGACAAGCAGGCTGCGTACTCTTCGCTGACCGCGATGTCAGCCTACGTGCGTGGTCTCAGTGCGGCCTCTGGATACATCAAAGAACGAAAGAGCGAGCATCGCGCTATAAGCTGCAAATGGCACCTCTTTCTTAGGTCTGCGTCACATGGATCGACCGCGCAGGCCGAACGGCAGCGATCCACTCATCAATCGGCAGCTCTGGTCATTCCGCCGTCCAAACAAGTGCACCATTAGCCGGTGGAGCCGGTAGATCGTCAATATAGTTATGGATTTGACTGCTTCGAATCGAAACACCTCATACAAACACTTGATTTGACGGTCTCAATGGTGTTTGGCACTCTCAACGGCGTTCTCGTAGGGAAAGAGACGTATTTGGAGTCTCTGCCCGTACAAACTTCGCAGGAAAGAACTTCAGCAGGCCCAGGTTAGCCTCCAAGGGACTATCGTTATGCCGATAAGCGTCAACGGTCGTATTTCTGTAAAAACCACGATATGACGACGTAAAGATGAGGGTGCAAATGGACTTGATGATGGATGGAACGCGGAGACAGCACATCGTATAATAATGTTAGTGACAGCGGCTTTCACTCAATTCGGTTAGAATGTGAGGTTGTTGCCTGATTGTGAACACCCTCTCCCGAAGACCCATCCTCAGCTCGTTCTATTGGACTCGGTTCACGCCCAGCACGTCGTCTTGACTTTTTCTGACTCGTCGGCTTTTCTTCATTTAGTGTGCTGGGCTTCAAATCCGTGCAGAGACCTTGACGAGTCTCCATGCATCCTCCTGGCTCACGGCGAGTCTTCGGGCGTATACTCGCCGCCGTTCAGGTGATATCCCCCTCCATGGTGGTCAGGAGTGACACGCCCACACTTTCCATTGCTAGAATCGCGCGTATGTAAGTCATAGGCCTTACCCTCAAGAATTGTAGTTTGGATCGAACTTACAAAGCAGAAGCGCCCGGAGCAGTGATATAGTTGCTGGAAGCGATCGTATACTTGACCGCGCTCGGATCACACGCGTCTTTGTCGCGAACATTGAAGACGTAACAGATGCCGTTGCTGCCCGGGACTTTGTACGGAAAATATATGCCCCAGGCGGCTAGGCCCTGCGACATTGCAAAGTTGCAACACTCGACCCTACTTGAGAGTGAATCGGTTCGGTTGAAGTATACGCCTGATTGATCGAGGGCATAGACTTGACCGCCGTTGTTTTGCCCGTCTGACCCGTAATAGAACGCATCGAAGTCGATGCCGTTGGGGAGATGATCCACGTCTGAAGATTTGAATTAGTTCGCATGACATGCCGGCCCCCGGGAGGGTTACTAACAATTGCCAGACTCCTCCTCACATATTGCATGTTGAGTAGGTAGAACTACCCCAGTAGACGTGACTGTTTCAATGACGTAAGTGGTTCGCGTTACCGTCGCTTTGGACTGCCTTGGTGCAGTGATGCTTGAAGTATATGTAGTTTCGGTTGTCGTGGTCGCATCATTGGTAAAAGTCTTCGTGACGGTGGTAGTGATAGGCGAGTCTACGTAGACTCTCATTTCAAGCGTCTCGGTGGAAATACTTGTAAGGACTTTCAGGGTAGCTGTGTATGCGAATTCAGACGCAATCGGGGTGAATCCAGAGGGCGTCTGTGTTCATTAGCATCGAGATCGACCTTGTAGCGTTATTCATCCACACGTGCAACGTACTGGAAAGCTAACAATAGGGGCAGTCAACGTCGGAGTAACGTATGAAACAAATCCGAAGACAGGAATCGACTGGACAACAGTCTCGGTCGAGCCGTAGTAGGTTGATGGAGTAGACGCTGTCACGGTCTCGGTCATGGTAGGGTAGATGTCGACGTAGCTAGTAGGAGCGCCAAAAGTCACAGTGTCGACGATCTGATACGAGGTCGAAGTAGAACTGAAGTAGTAGGTCCATGTGCCTTTCTCCGCGGGTGCGGTCTTGGACACTAGTGCGGTCTTATGCCCTGTGGACTTGTACCCTCCTGGTGCTGCGAAGGAGTGAATCGCGCCTGCGGCAGCGGAGTTCGCTAACGCGACGACGAGAAGATGAGAAGGCTTCATTATGCAGTTATGTAATGAAGAAATTGCAGAGAGTGAAGTTGCGCCTTAAGTAAGGCCACCTCGAGGCATATATAGCATCGGTCCGTCGGTGTACGCCTGGACATTGCTAAAGCGGGGCGCGTCATTGTGAGCCCATTGGATCTGCGTTGTTCCTGCACTCACGGGTCTGTGTCTGCACGGCGCAAGCCATGTTAGTGGAGGTCGTGCATTGTGCATGACGATTCACAGCTATTACACCGCGAACACGAGGGACTTGCTTCGCGGGGAAGAAGGATCAGCCCTCAGGTGAAAGATGATTGGGTGGACTCATTGCCGATTATACTACGAGCATGACGAAGTGTTTGGTAAAATCGACGCATCGGTCCTCAAAGGAAGCACTAGGCATAGGATCTTCTACAGTATGCTGACGTGCAGTATTCGAAGAATGCCGTATGCAGGTGAAGTTTGCGCGACGTGTTGAGCGGTAGGTGCATATTGTAGCCCTAAGTCGTGTATAGGCAGTTTTTTCGCCTAGGGTTAGGGTTAGGGTTAGGGTTAGGGTTAGGGTTAGGGTTAGGGTTAGGGTTAGGGTTAGGGTTAGGGTTAGGGTTAGGGTTAGGGTTAGGG